TATGTTCAGATTTGAAATGCCTAGCTCCTTATCGAACCCGGTGGAAGTCTAGTAGCTTCTTCAAACTATCGCCAGTCATGAAAAGATCCGGTCAAATGACACGAGTTTAGATCTATGAACAAGGCACGAAATGGAAAAGAATCGGCGACAGGCCACATCAGGCCTACACTTCAGAGCCGACATCACTATGTTATGTTATGATTGCGCCAGAAATAGTAGCTAATGGAAAAGACCTAGGACACGTGAACCATTGAATCAGCACTTCTCAGACTTTGACCAGCTGTACGCCGTGCTTTTCTATGCACTTTTAGGCGTAAATGGTTTAATTCTTAACTACCTGAGGTAGGTTACTTATTGGCGTATCTATGTTTTTACTGATGCCAGTAAGTGCAGGTGCCATGGGCAGAGTATTTCGCTTCAATGTTCTTCGGCTAGTGGGAGGGACTTTTTTCTTCCAGTTTGTCCCATCTCTTGATTGTAAGTAGTCATCATCATAGTCGTCTCTATCAGAGTTTTCTTCAGAACTTGAAGCTGAAGAATCCTCTCACTAGGCAAGAGCTTTTCTTCATCTTCTGAATCTTCATCACATATGAGTTCTTCTTCACTATCGACCTCCAAATCCGATAAATTATTCATAACTTCTCCTATTTCATCATCAGTAATAAGTTTACGAGACATTGCTAAGGTATCTAAATCTGTAAAAGGCCAAAAAATAATTAATTCTAGTTTAGGATAAATTTTAAGATGAAATTTCTGGTCAACATCTCTTCCTGAAATGGGGTCAAAAATGATCCCAACTTCATATCTACCATATCTCTATATCATAGTAATTCTCCTGACATTTCCTTCTAATGTTTTAGACTTCATTTCAGAAAGAAAACCACAGTTTGATAAATTTTTAGGAGGTAGTTTATAAATTATTGCAAAATTTTACATTCTGGGGTCATTTCTGACCCCATTTTGGGTCTAGAAGGGTTAAACAACAACCTAATAGCCCCTTCTTAGCCTCATTCGACTGCTTTTTATTTCAAAAACTAAAAAATTCATTGAAAGGTACCTGGGTTCCACTAGTTGAAGCGTTTAGAATGAAGTTATTTAAGGGTATTTTACTATTAAATATCTAATATTTTTCTTGACATTGATCAATCGAAGTTATTTCTCTTTCAGTTTTACGTTACGTTATGGTTCCAGATTTTTATTATTTATTGTTTGTCAGGTGGGTTGCCGAGTGGTTCACTTTAGCGGCCCGTATGAATAGGTTCTAGTCTGGTAGGTGAATATGTTAAATCGTCTCGAGAGAGACGATTTAAGACAGGAGGATTGAAGTGGCACCCGGAAATATCCCAACACTTTCTATACTAAAAGAAAACTTTCATATTACAGAACTGGGTCACTCATGTATCAGACATCTATTTCGCGGGCATAATAAATCTTCTAGAGCCTAGGTACATGAATCCAACTTCAATTTTGATCAAAAAATGAATTCGCATAACTTACAAGAAACATAACTTACAAGAAAATAAAACTGATCTATGGTTAAAAAACACTGACCTAAATATCAAACATGGGACAATCAACACGGTAACAGTGACACACACAAAAAAAAAACACGGTAATAGCATCACATCTCAAGCTAATAACAGCTATGCCTCACATTTCTAACGGGTACATCACCTGGGGCCATACTTTCAAAACTCGCTAAGTTAACGTAAGTACTTACGCTCTATTTTATTGTCTATAATTGGTGGATTTCGCTTGAAAGGCCGTCAATGATTGGCTGATGAACTTACGATCTCTTAACTTTTTTTGAAAGTATGGCTCCTGGACTTTGGGAGGTGGCAGTGCAGTAATTAAATTCCGGACAGTCTTGCGAGGTCCTCGCAAATCATCATCGAGGGCCTTCCCGCCTCGATGATAGTTCTTGACGCGGCTGCGCTGGGGTGAATCTCGACTCCAGGAAAGTGGATTCGGAACTAGCTTCGTATCTGGCAGGGATTCTCTGGAGGTATGTCGTGTCTAGGGGTCTAAATTCTCGAGTAATCGGTTCCTCGTCGTCGAATAATCTTACGTCGTCAGATCTCGTAGCGTGGTCTTCCATACTCGGAAAAAATCGGTTCATTTGTCGAATAATCTTACGTCGTCAGATCTACGTCGTCAGATCTCGTAGCGTGGTCTTCAATACTCGGGAAAATCGGTTCATTTGTCGAATAATCTTACGTCGTCAGATCTCGTAGCGTGGTCTTCCATCCTCGGAAAAAATCAGTACACTCATCGAATAATCTTACGTCATCAGCACTGCTCCGACCTTCTTCTCGTTGCGTCGCCCAACAGAGACAATTACCACGAAATAATCTTGCGTCGTCAGAACTGTTCCGACCTTCGTCTTGTCGCGTCGTCCTACGGAGACAAATACTACGACCTCTCACTCGGCCGGTTTCCACGGGACTGCCTCTCGCGGTAGGCCGCGCTACTTAAGACTCTGCATCATATAACTGCGAAGTCTGATTTCACTGAGACCGGCAAATCGCTATAAAATCTGAGCTCATGTATGAAATCGGCCGTCACCAGCCCTTGCCCCGCGATCACTTCAACGACATATTTGTGGCTATCAGGAGGCAAGGGGAGGCTTTCAGGTGGCCGGTGAATAGCTAGAGGGAGGCCGGAGCTAACATGCTATGGCCGACCGCTGGCCATTGACGGTCCGGGGTGGAGGAGGAGGGGCTGAAACCACTCGACAGCGGTTGGCGATTAATTTATGATCTTTGCGCTTCGCTCATAAACCATTGTGCATGATTTGGCTCCTTCACTGTAGGATACTGGAAGCAGAAATCGCGTGATAAAATATAATCTACGGAAGTTTCACAAGAATTTTCTAGTGAATCAGCTTGCATATATCTACTGCAATGAATTCTGATTTAGAAATGCATGGTATACCGGTCAATGAAGAGCAAATAGTAAAACCTGAGGACGTTGAGAAAATGGTAGAAAAGTCGAGCGCTTTACGAACATCGCGGAGTAAAATTTTATCCATCCTGAAAACAGTTGAAATAAAAAGTTTACCTTAATGTCTGCAAATTGAAAATAGTTATCCAGGATAACATTCCAAATTTCAGACTTGTATCCAATTTATGAAGGAGTTATTGGACGAATTCACAGTTAAGAAACGCCATAGGCGACTGTCGCTGCTGACCGCCTTGATGCAGTCTCTTAATTAAATACCCCTCAACCCGCAACGCAGCGTCGCTCTGATATTTACCCTAAACGACACAAAGTTTTCCCCCCATCAACAGGAACAATAATTAACCACTTTGCCCTATACCTTGCTATTCGCATCACATACTACTTAACAGTCGTAATTCCTACTCTAAACATGGTTCAAATCACATGACTATGATGGACTTGAAGGCTCGTTTAAGCATTTACAGAAATGTATTGACCTAGATAGAAGATTGGTTCAAAACGGACTTTCTGACTTTGACCGTTTGTCAAACTATTGTTTTCCAGGAACATTTTAAATCCCGGCCCTTGTATGATCTTGCAGGATATCCAACTTTGAATGTGTTGAAATTGACATATTAAGCGTAGACGGTAGTAGTGTGAACAAATAAAATTGTAGGTGATTTCTGGGCTGAGATATATTGTATAAGACAGTAGAATATTAACCTGAAGTTGACCGGGTTCAATAATCCATGCAATTTCATGATCCCGAATGCCGTTAGTAAAAATCAACGTCATGCATGTTAATTAAGGAAACACTCGCTGAAAACCCGCATATACATAAAAAAAACCGTCCATGTAAGATGAACGTCTTTTAAATCAATTTTATAGATGCAAGTTAATAACCTAACTTTAATGTCTGAATCAAATTTCTTCTTCCTAGTTGTGCAATGACCTACTTGTCTCCCACTAAGAATAAATTTTCAGTTCCAGGTAATATCCTAACACGATTAGTATCGTGAATTTCGAGACCAAACAGTCCCTATATATTTCCTGTGCCAAGCTTTTAACATTTAACACATAAAGAAGCTTTAACAAACATAAACATAAGATTTCTGCTGATGTAGGGCGCAGAATGGATTCGGGTTATATGACGTAAAATTCTTCAACAGAAAGGGCAGTATGTCTTCTACCTTATCGACGTCTTCAAGTTCGGCATTGGCAGTTTGATGGCAGGCTTCTTCACCTGCGTCACCGTCCACTGGGTGTTTGGTGTCAACAAGTGAGTTATTAGTGGGTGATGAATCAACAACTGAATCACTAACAGGTAACGAGTTAGCAAGAGAGTCAACGGTGGGTGACTAATCAGCAAATTGTTTTGAGACAAGATGTGATTGATTTGCTCGCGTGGTGTACATTTTCAACCTCCTTCAAGATTTATCTTATGTTGATGACAAAAGCTAAATCTTGAACGATGAACTTCTAGGATGATCTTACTTGAAAACTAGGATCAAATTTTGAAACAATAAGAATATTTTGAAAGCGTGACTAGTTCAAGCAATAATACTGTGATAATGACTCTGTATCCCGATCAGTTTCAGTGACATGATCGAGTTCATGCTGGGCTTCCGCCCGTCCGTCCTCATGCGCGTTGCCTGGGCCTGCATCGCTCCTGTCACGCTGCTGGTGGGTGCCAACGATGGTAATGGGAATAGGGGCAGTGGTGGTAGTGGGTATAGTGACGCTGACGGTAATGGGAATATGGGTACTGGTGGTAGTGGGTATAATGGCGCTGGTGCTGGTGACATTGGGTATATTGGTGCTGGCCCTGCTGGGAATAGCGGTATATATTGGCGGTAGTGGATATGGTAGCGCTGGTAGTACTGGGATTAAGGGAAATAGTGTTGAAGAGAATAGTTGCCCCGAAACTCGTGGTTTGGGAACACTAGCAATGGTGATCTTGGGAATAATGGCAAAAGTTCTAGTGGTAGTGGTAAGAGTGACTGTGTAAATAGTGGCACTGGAATCGTGTACTGACATTCGTGATCGTGATAATATGAAAACTGGCATTTGTATACGTGGTGGGATAGTGGCACTGGCCCTTGTAGTTATTCGAACAGCTGATGGTACTGTGATTAGAGGTAGTGGTTGTATAACTAGTGACGAAAGTAGAACTAGTGGTAGCGGAAGTAACTCAATTAGCCGGCATGGGACTAGTTTTAACAGTAAATGCGACCATTGTGGCATTACACATTTCTTCCCTCGACGAATGAAATCTCTCTCATTTGTGAGCCAAATTCTTAAAAACTATTTGTGAAGTCTTGAGGACCCAATTAACTCACTTGCCGCCGCAGGTTGAGCTTGTGCATGGTTGAACTAATATACAGGGTCCGCCATATTTATGGCTACGGATGTTTGCTATATAAAAATAAATTGGTTTCTAGGAGAATTTTCCTTAATAATGGAGCTTAATATCATCTATTAATTCATCTATTTTATATTGCAGAAGTCTAAGGTGTCTGAATTTACTATTATTTATGGCAGTAGATAGAAATGCAATTGTAACCCTTCATGAAAATGGTGAGAGTAATTCAGTTATTGCAAAAGAGCTCCAAATTCGTCGTGAAACTATGTGGAAGGTGGTAAAAAAATCAAAGAAACTGGTGAAACATGCAATTGACCTGATCAAGGAAGGAAACGAAGTGTCCGAACAAAACAATTGGTCAAAAACACGAGAGATAAGTTGAGGAGAAACCCTTGTCGCTCAGCTGCAAAATTGGCTGCAGAAGCAGGAGTCAGTCAGACATCAATGCGTAGAGTCCTCAAAGTCAAAGATGACCTCAAAACCTCCCCTTACAAGATGCAAACAAGGCATGAACTAACAGACCGTCATGAACGAATGAGGCTCGAAAGATGCCAGCACATTCTGGATCTCATTGAGGATGGCACGCTGCCAAACTTGGTGTTCAGTGACGAGAACAGCAACATGGCGTCAAAATCCCATGTCCGTGATGGTTTGGGCCGCGGTAACCGCCACTAGGACGTCCCCACTCGTTTTTGTCCCTTCAGGAGTGAAATTGAACAGTCAGCGATACATTTTGGAAGGTGTGTTGTTACCTGGGGCCCGTAAACACTTCAACGGCTCACCGTGGAGTTTTCAAAAAGACTGCTCCATCACATGGCTAGAACATGACCCAAAACTGGATTCAGGTCACATCCCAGCGTTCATTAGCAAAAATGAATGACCTTCAAGAAGCCCTGATTTGAATCCTCTCGACTTTTTTATAAGAGCTATTTTAGAGAGTAGGGTCTGCAGAACACCTCATGATTCTTTGGATAGTTTGAAATCTAAATTGACATGAGAATGGGACTTGATCCCTCAAGAAATTCTGCGTGTCTCCTGTGAAGCTTTCCCGCGTAGATTGGAGGCCGTCATTAAAAATAAGGGTGGTTATATTGAATAAATATATCTGAGAATTGTTTAGGTAATTCTTGGCTACAAGCTCATTCAATAAAAAAACAATGAACCTGTTTGTTTCACTGAGAAATAATATAATATTATTTAACATGACGATCTATTGATAATATGATCAATAATATATAATAAATATGACGGACCCTGTAAGGTTGACCCACGTACGGCGATGACGATTTTTCGCAGTCCTGCGCATCTCTAGAGTGACGTAACTGTGGGCACAAAAAGTAAATAGTATAGATCTATACATTGTTTGTATGGCATCTCTGAAAGCATTAAAAAACTGACCTTATCAAAATAGCCCCAAAAAATTATTTACTGCAGGCAACTAGTCATATTTTCAGCAAAACCGGTGTTACAAATCAGTTTGACACAAGAGCCAAGGTGACGTCACACGAGCCAAGGTGACGTCACATTGTAGCGGACCAGCCTTGGCCGCGCTGCAGTTTTCTTTAGCCCGCCGCACCTCTCTACCGAAGACTGAAGAGAAGAAGTATGCATAGGTAGTTTACTCGGGAAGCAGCTCATTGCGAGTAGGCAGCCTACCTTCGCCTGACCTACCGCACGTTGTAATGACTGTAAATATCTGTATTTAATGTCCATATAATGTCTGTTTTCGTAAACCTATATGCATTTAGTGAAAATCTTATGTCGTGGATGCCGGTTTTCCATGAAATTTAAGTAAACCTTATGGCCCTAGAAAGTTTACTGATCTATTTTAATTAATCCTCGCACCTTAGGGCCCGCTTGCAGAGACACAGTAACTTTGATGTATGGAGCTTAGTTCTCCCGCTACAACATGAGCCAAGGTGACGTCGCGGGTGGAATAACAAATGACATCCGCAAGGCTTGTGTGCCTCGTGTACGGTGATTAGAAAGAACTCAATTCTATATACAAAGAAGTAAAATTTGCATCCATAGCTTTTTCTCGTTATTCTGCAGCAAGTGATCTTCTTCTTTGTTGTCATCTATGAAAATGAGATCAGGGAATAATTATACCGTCCAACCCTTGTTTCTCACCAACGGAAAATGAAGCAAACTTCAGTCCCCTTTCCCCTAAACACATCCCTATCTGATTCAAAAATGACAGAAAATGTTTCTTATCTCACTAAACAAAGTGATGCATTGGGAAGGAAAAAACTTTTTGCAAATTCTCGACCACCCTAATATCCACATGCCACACATACTGCTTAGTTTTAAAGGTAGCCCCACACATGCCGCGCCACCTAGCGCACGTGAGATAACGAATCCAAGTAACACTAGTTGCACACGTCTGAGATGTCCAGGTTACACCACCTGCTGCACGTGGTAGTAGTATTTGTGAGCTTAAGTAACTACCATAACCTACCGCAAGTTCTGTTGAAGGCATAAGGTAACTAACTCCACCTACCGCAGGTGGTGTTCGTGGGTTCCTTGCTGCAGTGGCGTTGGCCGCTGTACGCCGGCACCATCCACTACCCCGTGTGGGCGCTGGTGTTGGGCGCTGCCGCCCCCCTCGTCACCCTCGCCCCCCTCGTCATTGTTGCTCTTGTGCACGTCATGGAGCTCGTCTGGAACGGAGTAAGCGCTGGAATGAGCTCATCTAAATATGTTCACGGGAATTAACTAATGATTTTCCATCACATAGATGTATGATCTTTCTTTCCATCCCATCAATGTATGCTCTTTCTTTCCATCACATCGATGTATTTTAATCGATACCAGAGGACACATTGTTATTGCTATTGTGATTGATTATCATCTCATTTCCATGCATGTCTTCTAACACAGACAGAGGGGGTTAAATCAGTATCAATGTCAGTAAATTTGAAACGAATACGTAGCTAATCCTTTTGACTGTCTGGCCGGCGTACTTCATTGACAGTGAGTGTTCCAGTTTATGATCGTGACAGGCGGCTGCTGCCATCTGTTCCCCTTCCATTAGAGCACACTGTCCATAACAAACATGATGCTTCTTCTCTAAGGAGAGACATTGTTTAGAGTTGTCATGTGATTGTCATCTCAACGTCCGAGACGTTAGAGAGAATACATCGGTAATGAAAACAGTCAAGTCCATAATATTGATTAAATCCCATCTCAGCATGTAAGCTGATACATCACTGACAGTTTTAATGAAATACTAATAAGAAAATTTTCAGTGGAATGCTGCCATGATTGAAATAGCTTCCAATAAATGTCATGACTATCCCAGCTTCACTTAAATGCGGCCTTAATTTGAATAACTTCAATGGATCGAGGCCATGATTGGAACAACTTTAATGGAATGAGGTCATGCCGGGAATGGCTTTGATGGAAATAGGTCTTGATTGAAATGGCTTTAATGGAATAAGGTCATGACTGGAAAAGCTTCACTGGAATGGAGACAGAATCAGAAGCCCAAACGACAGGGATAAAGGCTAAACAGGGACGAGTTGGTGAACTTCAGGCAAAGACTGAACACCACCAAAGCGGTTTTTAGCAATTACAACGAGTTTGAATTTTTATGAAAATCAATAAACTATTTCAGTACAGCTTTTCTTCAGCAATAAATATTCCATCTTTCACGGTAAAAATACCAAAAGAGACATTTTCAGAGCGTTTACGTCACTCTGCGTCCTAAGGCAAACGCTCAAATTTCCACAGTGCACAAATGCCTACCTCCACTCATCCCCACGGTCTTGTATTCCTCCTCCAGAGGGGACGCGACATCCTAAAGCACCATCACCAATGGGGCCCAGGTTGTCCCGTGGCCCGTCAACGACTCAACGAAGCCGTGCGACTCACTCGAGAGGCGCAGAGACTCAACACCCGCGTCACAAAGGGCTCCGTCAACATAGCCTTCGACAGCACCGATCTGTAGTGTAGCTTAAGGACCATTTGACGGTGATACATCATTCTCGATTGCACGCCTTGGTTGATTTTTTGCGTCGATGCTCATGTGCGTGCGGAGGGACGGCTCAGGTGGAGTCAAAGGACGACGGAAGAGAAGGAAATACGCGCAAGAAGGAAGAGCGGCCAAATAGGCCATCGCCTTCACGGGACTGTCGATCAAAGGAGGTGCTGAATGCCGTGGCAAAAGGTGTTAGCTCCCAGGGAACTGTAGTGACCCAAACAAAACTAGTTCAGCACTGAGCGGTGGGTCAGGAAAGCGAAGCTCCAATATAAGAGACAGCGGGTGGCAGCTGAGCAACCAGAACCCTGTTGATCTCAGCGGATTCGGATTCTCAGCAGAAAGTCCTTTTAGCTTCCGCATATGAACCCGCCGAAGAGGGACCACAAAAAGACTAAATCTAGACTGGAGAGTAGCTTTGATAGGTCTGTCTGCAGACGGAGCAGAAACGATGTGAAATGAGGTTTAAGGCCCTGATTGAGAACCGAGAGGCTTCGAACAGGCTTGGCTCTTCCCTATGCGTTACATCGCAAATTAGAATAGACTTTACTCCACTCGTAAATAGATGTCAATATGGATTTTTCAATGCTTACCCGGCTATTTATTTATAAGCGGCGACCAGTAACAAAAATATATAAATTCTGTATTAAAAGTTTTAATGAGAGGATATTTCAAGAAACTTTGAATACTATTGTTCATCAAGTCTGCTACTTTTATACTTTTTTCGAGACGTAAACGGGTTGTAATTTTTATTCTCCATTGAATGGTATACTCGGCATTCCTTGATCAGCCTACTTGTTGTAAATATTATTTCTCAAAAAATAGTTATGATCGAGCCTGCTGATTCGCGGAAGGAAAATCCCGCATACTAGCTGCTCAAATGGAGGCGTTGTGGAAGTATGAGGGGAAATAGAAGTCGTAAATTACTCGACTGTCAGTTCACGACGGGCGGCATGGTAAAGGCGAACTCAATGAGGGGCGAGGAATCATACGTGGCCAGTGGTCGGCCTAGACCAATTAGTTATAGCCGACCGTTGGCCATTCCTCGGCCACCTGAAAGTGACCAGGTGCCACGCAGTGTTGCCAGCTTTTTTCTTGACGTGAATACCAGATTGCCTAGCTCAGAATACCAGAAATTCTATTGTTCAAAACAGACGATTACCTCCAAATTTAATGAAATTATTCGTCAGAAAAATAAAAAAATTATATGTACTGTGCATTTTCCTGGCTTGACGATAATTAGCCAAATTGAACACGTTATATTTTATCCCTCTGTTTGGAACATTTTGACACTTTTCTTTTCCTGCGTTTGATTACATTGACACTTTTTCCTTTTTTATCACAGTGTGGCACTTCTCCCCCTTCACTCAACATGAGCAGGCCACGGAAACAGGTCATCTTCCTTTTGCTTATTTTCGTATTTGCTTATTTTCGTATTCGCTTCCTTTTGCTTATTTCGTATTGCCTTTATCTAACATTTCGGGTGTGATCACTTGTTGCGGTTGAGTAGGTCCGAATAACGGACTTCAGTACCTTAGTTGAAATTTATTTCGTTGCTTGTTTTTCACATAGATGACTTGTGAAAACACTCCACGAATGCATTGGAGACAGGTCAAAGTAGACAAGTGATGCAGTAGGCAGCCAGTTCTATGAATGGATGATGATTTTGAAGATCAATGAAATATTGAATGGCACCCTAGAATTCAAGTGGCACTGAAACAAGTAAGTGGCACTGTAGAATTCAAAACCACCAAAGTAGTGGAGCTTGCGTCGCAGAGATCAGTTCAAAAACCTCACTCGTCCTAGGTCATATCATCACTGATCAGTAATCAATCAATGATCATCACTCTCGTGCTTATATTGCACTAATCACTTACGTTAAATGTTAACAATTAGATTGGGGTTATAACCACCCAAGCGGTAAACTTGCGGTTCCAAAAATGGCGGGAAACCTCTAGTCGCGCCGCTCTGAAGGTAATCTATATAATCCACGCCAACGCTGGAGGAAGTTCAAACTTCAGAGGTGGAACTTAATGCAGTAAATTTGCAGAAAGTCAGAAAATACCAGATTTAGGCAAATATACCAGATCTAAAATATTCATACCAGACATCTTCTGGAAATACCAGATTTGCGAAATCTGATATGGAAATATACCATCTGGCAACGCTGGACTGCCGCGAGAAAGGGGCTGGCTATGATATCATATTACAAAGAGTATAAGCTCGAGGGTAGTGACTGGCCGAGCTTCAGGCAGATCAAAGATTTCAAACGATGGTCGCGAAAACCTCGCTCTCAGACTTCGCTGCGTTCTGAGTACAAGCCTAATTAATATTAATTATTAAGGACCTGAGGGAGCTGGCAAGGTATTGTGCACATGCGAAGTCCTGATGGGAAAACAGGGGAAGATCGCCCACCTTTTTTGAGACATTCAGTTGCTATCACTAAACGAGTTCTGATTCATCTGTAGGCTTGCACAGCGGTGCGGTAGGCTCCGAGGTACCAGAAGTGAACTGAATAGTTAAGGATTGGGCGTGTTATAGTTATGAAGGTGACACTGATCTTCCTTTTTAAATCCAATTTCGTATCGCCCAGGCTTTTCGAATACGCAGGATACTAATCAAACTTTTCAAATATCTGCATAACTTATTTTGATTACTCATTCTGTGGTTATGATCCCATGCAAACTTCGACTACAGACTAATTAGTGGCATGTTCCAGTCTATTAACAACTTCCACGAATTAATTAATTTTATACTTGGCCGCAGGAAGACCTTGATCTACCAGTTTTTGTTTATTGGCTCATATATGATTCGTTCCTAATTTATTGGTGTTGTAGCTTCTCACGCCTAATTTATTTGTGTGGTTTTTACAGGACTACGTTCCCAGAAGCTTACTTGAAGCTAGAAATCAATGCCAAAGTTTTTAGTGTTAAAATTTCTTTAAGAAAACAATTTGAATATTGCTCATTTTCCCTTCAATTTTTTATTGGATCCCTAGATACTGAAAATGCTGCCTCTTTATAATTTCGGTATGCACTGCTGGTGTGAAAACTCGAGTCTCTGAGATAGTTTACAACATCCAATATATCATCGTGCCTCACCCTGTAATCCTTTTATTTATGATTACTAATTACTCTCAGTCTAACTACTATATTATTCTCCTGCTTTAGCTCATGGACATTAATAAGAACATATCAGAACTCAGAGAAAATTCGTATAGTTCATCTAATAATAAATTAATAAACGGATGTCATAGAAACGACACATGTGTGAACACTGAACAGTTTAATTCAATCTGACCATTGACTCCCGTGATTAGAGCGTCGGTAATTCTGATTTGAATTATATTATACTGTATAGAACTTAGTTTGAGGGTGAATTAATTAACAACTTGAGTTATGAAAGTTATTGTATGGTAGAGACTTTGAGGACAGGTTTTAAGAAGGCTACAGTAATTTGGGTTGAAACTGTATAAAGCTTGTATAAGACGCCAATATTCTCGAGACCGTGAGACCGAGGGTTTGTTTATAGTTTGGAACGGACGAGGTTACCAAAGGGTTGACTCTTGTGTAACTCGAAACTGTCGCGGAGTACCTTGCTAGGCTTATGTGTGCGTGACGTCTCCCTATATAAGGGGCCAAAAATTCACGCCAAAAGGTTATATTGAAGTCACGGTCTCGAGTACGGTCTGCTGTCTGCTGACGTTGTGACGGCTGAGGCCGTGAGGCCAGCGGTTTCGCCGCTTTCGAACTTCGGCTTTCGCGAGAAACCGAGACTCACCGAGGCCGCTACGATTCCTGTGAGCACGTCATAAAGATACAAGGGACCTTCACGACTTCGACATATTAATGTACTGTCAACATCAACAATCTGGCTGCGACTCAGCCGTGAGACAACGAGAGAGACCACGAGATGTCTAACGATTATAACGCCGGCATTCTTGATCATGCCTTATGTGCAATACTAATTTTAGACAACCATTTTTTACCTTTGTATATTGCTTGTTTACAGAAACCGATTTTATAAAGAAAATGAAAACGAAAAATCGTGTATTCAAATCCTTCGACAAACGAATATACGTAACAGTCATGAACTATTTTAGCTCAGCTGTTGCCTACTGCTAGGTGATAGCAAAGAAATTTTATTAGATATAACTACCAACCTCCATTGCTCAGTCTGGATTTCAGTCTGTTCATTATTTATTATTTTCATGTAGTATCATGTACAAGAAACTTGGTTATTAATTTTCATTCTTGCTGTTGCCTAAGCAACAATGAGTCGAGTCTTGATGCATGCGATAATTATTTATAAGCCTTTGTCGTCCACCCAATTCATGTCTGCCACCACAATAAACAAACGTGCTGGTGCTTAATCTCAATGTTAACTTCTATTTGTAACTTCACACGTTCAGCAGTTAGACTGTCTCATAAAGTTTAAATCTAGAAGTGCAGAAAAAGTGTCATTTATTTACACAAACGATTTTTGTAGAAAATAATTTTGAACTTTTGAGCATTTCAACGAGAATTATTGAGCATGTAGAACGCAGTCTGAAATAAAATCATTCAATAAAAATTATACAAATTTTATTTACTGGTTAAAATTGTTAGATTGTTCTGTACAAGATGAGTTCAAACAGTTGCTGCATTAACTGACAGGATCGATGGTGACAGGTCATATGGCCTATCAAGGATTCGAGTTATGTCAAGAAATATTTATGAATTTAATGTGGATTAAATTTAATCAAATTCAAGCGGTAAACTGAGAGTTGGAGATGAGCTTGGAGTAGGTTAAGCAAGGATAAGTTAGATCATTATGATATAATAATAAATAATCTAACCTAATCTATCTTAGCCTAAACTAACCTAATGCAACTGAAAGTTTCATTTTGAAAAATAAATGTAAAATAATTCCTTTCGCAGCGTATTGCCTAATAAGTCCTTGTGTTATGAATTTCTTGCAGATGCGTACAGAATTGAGGGAAAATAGCTATTGAGTTGCGCAAAAAATGCTTTATTGTATTTTAATCGAACAGGAAATGTCGAAGTATACCGCGGCGAATCGCCGATAATTAGTTATGTTCTGAATATCATGCATAGCCTAAAGGCTCAGAATTCTGAGCTAGGTGTTTTAAATGTCATTTTCCCCGCGTTTTTTGATGTTTGTACTTAATTTTCTAATGTAAAATCTTCGTGTGGTTATTCTTCGTGCAAGTTCACGTCTTCTAAATTCATAACAATTGTTTCCGATATATCCGCTATTTTGTCTATTCCCGACAAATTCCTTGAACTAAATAGTACTGTTATAATTTGAACTGTTATACAAAGGGTCATTGTATGTAAATCTTCGGCCCTTTGATTTGTAAGTGATATTGTAACTGCATGCAGCAGCGAGTAAAAGAGTTTGCACAGACCTCAATAATTTTAGTTTAGCTACAATTAATAGCAGTAAGAAAATTTCTAACTGAGAAATCAGCTAGAAGTTTGCTTGGTTTCCTCCAGATACTCAAAAGAGCCATAAGAAGTAGCGTGACAATTTCACTTCAGTCATTGAACTCAACCTTCCAACGGGAGGCACAAGCTGGCAACCCTCGATCAGCTTATAGCTACCTACGGTTTTTGTGTTCGGCTCATGTTCATAAGAAGGATATTAACATAACATAACATAGTGATGTCGGCGCTGAAGTGTAGGCCTGATGTGGCTGTCGCCGATTCTTTTCCTTTTCGTGCCTTGTTCATAGATCTAAACTCGTGTCATTTGACCGGATCTTTTCATGACTGGCGATAGTTTGAAGTAGCTACTAGACTTCCACCGGGTTCGATAAGGAGCTAGGCATTTCAAATCTGAACATATATTTTTCCATAGCTTTATCTAGTCTGTTCTTGAACGCGTTCATACTTGGGGGCCAACGATGTCATCGGGAAGGCTGTTCCACATGTCAGTGATTCGAAGCGAGAAGAAATTTTGTCGCGTGGAGAAGTTGCAGCGCAGTTTTTTAGTTTATAGCCGTGGCCCCCGGTGTTGGTTCTTGTTTCAAGTTCTAGTAATCCTTCGGGGACCTTGTATAAACCATTAGTATACTTGTATACTTCAATGAGGTCCCCACGCAGACGTCGATAACTGAGGCTTGGAAGCTTCATAATCTTCAATCTTTCTTCATAGGACTTGCCCTTCAAGCCTGGAATTATCCTTGTTGCACGTCTTTGAACATTCTCTATTAAATTTCTGTCATTTTCGAATCTCGGTGACCACACAACGTTTCCAAACTCTAGACTCGGGCGTACGACGGCAACAAACAACTGCTTCATCGTTTCTGCATCTAGGAACTCGTATGAGCGTCTGATTAGTCCAAGAAGTTTGTTGGATGTGTTAGCTTGCGTTTCAACATGCTTAGAAAATTTCAGCTCCTTGTCGACATAAACTCCGAGATCTTTTTCCACACTAGACTTTTCAATCATTACTCTCTCGTTGCAACCATGTCTTCTCATACTGTAATCTTGCTGTTCATTGTTCTTTCCGAGGTGAAGTACTTTACACTTGTCAGCATTAATTGTCTACCATTATTTAATTGTGCGGAAATTATTCCTCTCTATAGCGATGTTCTCATTCAACATCAGAATTCCACTATAATTTTTTAAATGGGTGATGGACTTGCAAATAATTTTAGTTTACTGCATGATGGCGCCGACATTTTAGACCCTTCCTCGGCTGCCGTCTACTGGCTATCGTCTTGTCAGTCGGTCAGTGACTGTCGTGAGGGAAGATACGAGTGCATATGAGGCAAGCATTTCCTGCCTGCTTCGCCAGTCGGGCATAAAGTTCTTTTCTGCTAGGTACCTAAAAATTTATTATTTATGTTGAAAAGGAAATGTTACAAAATCCCCACTCTTTGGTGGCTGCAACGTTCATCATGGACACATTCCTTGGACGTCAATTTTAGTTATTTTTAAGTCAATATCTGAAAATGTTTAAGTCTTAATACTATAATAATATTATTAATAATATTGTTATAATATAATACTCTCCATATCGATGAAATTTAACTCGAATTGAATTATTACGGACATAAAAATCTGCAAAAAATTGACTCTTCCTGTTTAAACACATAAAAAATTTTCCTTCGATCATTTTTATCTATTTGATTCGGTTTAGATGCAAAATTTTCAACATATTCAATTGTATATTTTTGTTGACACTGTACGGACAAATTTTCATGAAGTTCATTTATATTGTTGACGTCTCCATGGGAAAAATTCAAGTAAAATTTGTTTTATCACCGATCGCCAGCGACGTTTTTCAATTAGTTATTTAAGGTAAAAGAACCTTTCCTGGCTAGACCCAACCTTAGTAAAATTGTAAAAAAAGTGTCTAAAAAACATTTTTCACACCTCTAGCCCTCACCTAACAAGATTTTCGTTGCTGAAATCAATAAATAAAAGGTTGCTGAAATCAATAAAGTTTTCTAATAGCTACTTCTGTAGCAATGACGTTTTTCCGCAGGTCACTTATTAGCTGGTTAGTTATATGTAGCAGCTCAACTAGAGTACCTAAAGATAGGAAACATATTCCAGCTGGTCTGTATTAAAAATTCGCTATCCACTAGGCTAGTGTTAGAAAAGTAATTGCCGGTTGGTGTCTACTTGACGAATCATCTCTCATGACGTTTTTCTTGTTCTCGCTCAAACAATACATATTTTCAAACATCAATTGGCATGCTGCAATTTTTCTCACACTAATGTCGCAAGTTTCATCAGACAACTTTTCTCAACAATATAACTTGTTATTCTCAGGCCTGTCTGACACCGGCCTTATTAGGTATGTCATTGAGGCATAATTAAATATCGAACTGTAAATACCATTCCATAATTACCTAGGATGAAATATAGAATAATAGATGTTGAGAACAATGAATCTGTAGTGAATACGTGGAATCAATGTTTTTGATCATGAAGTAGAGTTCAATATTAAATAACCTGCAGCCCCTTCTAGACACGCATTCGAAACATTCTCTGCCTCGGTCAACCTAGCTAGGTAGGTATAGAGAGGTTGTGACTCAGGCATCGTATGCTATATGCCGCCAGTGTATACAGTATATAGAGGCTAGAAAAACCTTCAAGCATAAATCTATTTGCGTTTCCTTATTAACACATAATTAATAATTTGATATGTATTTCGGAATCAGGACAAAAAGTCCTGATTAACTTCTGAAAACCTATCACTAAAGCCAAAATAACGCTTAAAATAACATTCTAGTTTTTTTAAATTTCTTTGCAGAAACTCTGAAATGGTATGATAGAAAAATATGTCGGTTGGGACTCGAGTGGCAAGTATCCAAATACAAGGCACAACATAAATCTAGAACTTCAAGGCACAACCCCAATCTAGATCCTCAAGGCACAACCCCAGTCTAGCAACTCATAGCACATCCACAATCTAAAACCTCGAGGCAAAACTCTAATTCAGAACCTAAAGGCACAAACGCAATCTAGAACCTCGAGACATAACCCCAATCTAGGACCCCAAGACAGCACGAATCTAAAACCTAAAGGCAGAACCATAATTCGAAACCTCAACATCCAACCTCACTCAATCTGGGCCTCAGAACACAACCCAATCTACGTCCTCAACTCACAGCCAACTTATATAGGGCCTTTAATGACAACAAAATTCTATGGTATCAACACTCATTTCTAATTAAGAACTCTAATATACGAGTACTACCCTAATTTTAGACATCGACACTAAGCCCTAATGATGCACCCCAATACACGACATTTGTCATGAACAAGATGGGTCACGATACCAACTCGAATTAGGCCCCCAAGACACAAGCCACTCCATGACCGCAAAACAACCCCTGTTAGGACTCCAATTCCTGACACTTGAGCATGAGCACGGCGGGTCAAACGGACCAAGCTTCCTCCAAGAAGCACCACACCGACAACACCAGCAGCAACTCAAGGTCCATCCAGCATGACAGCATCAGCTACCAGGACACCAGGGGGCACTGGGGCAGCAGGATGGAGTTCCTACTTGCCTGCCTCGGCTACTCGGTGGGATTGGGGAACTTGTGGCGGTTCCCCTACCTGGCGTATGAAAATGGAGGAGGTGGGTGGCCGCATTGCCGCGTACCGCGGCCGGTGTATTATGTATAACGATGTGTTTTCTTCATATTTGTGATCTATAATTGTATTTTTGTAGAAAAAAATATATATATAAATATTATGAATTTGGCGCGGATCGGCCAGACCGACACTGAACCGGCCGGATAATATTTGTTATACATAAAATAAAACAGGGTAGAAAATAATCTCATACAACCAATGACTGTCTCCACGCTAAGAAAATATAATAATTATAATTTAAACACCTTATGCGACATCAGTGGCACTAATTCTTAATTTGTACTTATTAGCTCTCCTAAGCTCGTACGCTGTGTTAAATTGGTTGCACATTTTCGACAGACGATATTTCAATAACGTGATACATCATACTTTAGTATTTGTTTACAGATTTAGTATTTGTTTACTCAACTGATTAATGAGCCATTATTGTTAAATCGCATTCGGATGCAATTGTTGATTTTTTACTTACATGGATTATGGTATAAATGATTGCACATCCTCATCAGGATACCGTGTGTTTATCAAGTGTTAGCAATGTGTTCTGAAGTTTTACGCACATTGTCAACGCAGAGGCTGCCGCTTCATAGATGTTGTCGAATCAATTATGTATTCCTTCTTTCCTTGTCGAACAGACAATAGAAGATGAGTGATATTGTTTAAAAAATTGCATACTTGACTTTATTTTGCTGAAGAAGCTTCTACTGGGGTCTCTTTTTCAGCGGCGTTCCTGTTGCCGTACCTGCTGCTGCTGGTGATCGTAGGTCGTCCCCTCTACCTGACTGAGGTGGCACTCGGGCAGTACAGTCAGCTGGGGCCCCTGCACACCTACAGGAAAGTCGCACCTCTTATGGCTGGTATGGGGGGGCCTTGTGTGAAATCTATTTAAACGCAATCGTGTTTAGTGTTTAGGTACCATTGCTACAGTCTTGAACATCATCCAATATGAATACATGTAGGAAAACATGATGGGAAATTTTCGCTTCTTGGCTGAGGATAGCCTTCGTGCGGACACGATGCGCACCATTCACCATTCTACAGTTCCATGCCCTGTGCTCGTGCTGAGATAGAATAGAATAGAAGTGTCGGCGTTGAAGACATAGGCCCATGGCCTGTTGCTGATTCTTGAACTTTTCGTGACTTGATTCACAAGGGATCCGGCCTTTTGAACCCGATCTTTCCATAACTGACGATTGATTGAGATAGTTGCTGGACTTATTGCCTGCTCCGTAATTTGCTAGGCATTTTAAGACTGAACATATGCTCCTGCATAGCTTCGTCTGGACTTATTGCCTGGTCCGTAATTTGCTAGGCATTTTAAGACTGAACATATGCTCCTGCATAGCTTCGTCTAGTCTGTTTTTGAAGATGTTCATACTCGGAGCTTCAACGATGCTATCAGGGAGGCTGTTCCACATGTCGGTGACTCGAAGCGAGAAGAAATGTTGTCGCATGGATGTCTTCCAACGCTGTTTTTTTAGTTTATAGCCGTGGCCCCTGGTGTTGGTTCTTGTTTCAAATTCTAGTAATCCTTCTGGGACCTTGTATAAGCCATGAGTATACATGTATACTTCAATGAGGTCCCCACGCAGACGTCGATAATGGAGACCTAAATCTTTTTCCATTGTCGACTTCGACATCATCACTCTGTCGTTGCAACCGTGTCTTCTCATACTGTAATCTTGCTGTTCATTATTCTTGCCAAGGTGGATAACTTTACATTTGTCAGCGTTAAAACGCAGCTGCCACTTATCAGCCCAGTCAACCAGCCTGTCAGTCAACCAGCCTGTCAAGATCACCTTGCAACTGTACTTTTCGCGACGTATTTCTTCAATTTCGGCTTTAAAAACAGAAAACATAGAAGAGCACTTCTCTTCCACCATTTTTTCGCTTTTTACAGCGTTAAGTGCAGGTTGTTGTACTTGTTGTACAGCATGTTGTGTTTGGAGTGCTGCATTATTGTGTGAGTAGTATCCGGCGGATTGAGGTGTATGATTTTGTGTTGTATTCTGTGCGCCATACCATATCGAAGGCTTTGTCACATCGCGGAGCACTATTTCTACGGTGTATCTTTATGCTAAGTCTGTGGGATAGAATAGAAGTGTCAGCGCTGAAGAAATATGCCCATGGCCTGTCTCCGATTCTTGTACTTTTCTTGTATCTAATAATATGCGTTTAAAAATTACTTTTTAAAGACAACACTTCTAAATAATCCAGAGTCTCCGATTTTACACATGTACAATGAATTTCTGATTTTATTTTCAAATATTACAAAAATTATTTTTCAATTTTTTTAATATCTGAAAATAATTAATTTTTAAAAATTATTTTTTCTGTCAATTGATTCATGCATTGTCTCCAACAATGCATGAATTCAGATCGATTCAGACAGGTAGAAATGTGTTAAATATCGATTATAGGATTTGTAGCAGACAAAATTATGCTTTCAATTTTTTCCATTAAAATATTCATTTAAAAATTACTTTTTAAGTAAAACACTTCCGAAGAGGCCATTGCCTCCAATGTTACACATGTACAATGAATTTTTAGTTTTATTTGTAAACACTAAAAAATTTGATTTATTGGATATTAAAATTTTTATATTTTTAGAATTATTTATTCTGTCAATCAATTCAAGCATTGTCTCCAACTTTAGGCAAGTGTGCAAAATTTCAGATCGAGAGGACAATTAGAAGTGTGTTAAATGTCGATTATAAGATTTGTATCAGACAAACAAACAAACAACAAGTAGTGAAGTTAAAGAGAAGTGTTGTAAAAAAAACGGCCAATTTGGCCAGATCTTTTCATAATTCATGTTGGTTTAAACAGGCTACTGGACTCATTACTAGGGTGCTAGGCATTTCAAGACTGCATTTCATACGGTGCTATGCATTTCAAGACAACATATACTACTGCATACCTTATTATGCATGAAGGCATACGATCAATATGATCATGATCGGGAAATTAGTCCGCGTAGATGGTGTGATTGCACATGTAAAACAGGTAGTTTTACATATCCAAGGAGCAGGTTTTTGGCAGGATGTATGAGTTTGAGCGATGTGAAGCCTGTAGTACCAGGTGGCTTTGGAAATAATTCGGTGTGATATGGCATAGATTGAGGTAACGTTTGCGTTCTGCGCGTGTTTTGTCCAAATACCTAAGTATGTCTATTTCAGTATTTCTACTGGTGTAAGGCAGTATTGTGTGGGAACTGCGTGCTGTGATTAGGTTTGTTTGAATAAGGTCAAATTTGTTCTCTGGAAGGATCTACGAGGTCGAATGTGTATTAGTAATAGGTTTGCAGTAATGGTGGCCATTATGAGAATGTGATTGTAGGGTGTGATTATTCCTGATAGTAGGTGTATGCATGGTATAGAATTCCTCAATGTTGTATATGACTCTTTCTGATGATTTTGTGTTATTGTGGGTTATGAGGCTTGGAAAGTAGAGGCCGAAATGAGCACATCTTGGAGTAGCAATTTCCGAGTGTTGTGTGTCTAGCGTTTAAATGTGCCATTAGGTAATCAGTAGTGTTGGAGGTCGATATAATCGCTGTAATCTGCACGAGGTGGGATGTTTTTTTATTTATTATTATTTATTTATTTTGATGGATCCTTGTTGAATATCAGCTGTGATGGCGAGCTTGCCTGTGTGAAACTTGTGGCGGAGTTTAAGAAAATCAACTGCTTATGTAATATGTATCACAATGTAACAAATTATTTTTAAGTGGAGCTCAGCAGCATATTTTGTTACGAGCTTAAAAGTTCGCCAAAGTGTTTAGAAGGAAAAGAAGAATAACAGCTTAGAATACAGCATAAATTGAATTAGTCAATTTAGCCGATGGATTAATAATATTTTAATTAAAACTTCGGTGAATGGGACTTTAATTAATAAATATTTTAATAATAATAATAATTTAATAATAATTAATTTAATATCGTCATTTAAGTAATTATTTATATATGTACAAATAATTTTTTTTATATTTTTCTCATTTTATATTTTTGACTTAATTTGATTCCCACCAGGCATAGGATACATGCAGCTCATCTCTGAGATTCCTTCGGTCTCCTCGCTGATGATCATTCTAAGCTACTCCCTGCACTACCTCTTCACCAGCCTCACTCACATCGGCCATACCGTGCGTAGCTATTACTTATTAAGGGCTTTTAATGCCGTTATTATCAACACGATGAAACATTTCAGAGAAACGTCTATTATAGCATGATGAATCATTTCAGGACATTTATCATAACATTTGATAAAGGACAATAACTATAAGCCGATACCACAATCCATAGAATAAATGCGTATCAAAGACGTCATGTATGCAGAAGGCGCTATTTTGATTTTGGATTTTCCAATTTTATTGCTTATTATTCGTAAAAATTATTTATAGTGCGTTTGACAGTAATATATAAATCATAACTAAAACGGAGTTAAAGGAATTATTAACGGCAACACAGAATTTACTGCTGACATTACATGCACCAACTTGGTCAGGATAACAAATAAGAGGAACCGCGTTCACGGGTGCTGCCTCTCATCTTGTCAGTAACTATGCAGATTAATCCGTCATGACGCTAAATAACTACATGCATTTAATTGCAATTGAAACTAAAGCGAAGAAAACAAGTGCAGTGCAATGTAGGTACTTTGAGATTCGGAGAAGCAGGTTTGCTCCCGCCTGGGGGAGGAGGTACTACAAGAAATATAAGAAAATCTAGAGTAAACGTGGCAGCTGAATTCTCGTCCGGGCTCGCTTGTGGGCATATTTTTGTCAAAAGAGCGCCACTAATCAATGATATTATACATATAATAAGCTCGGTTCATTTAGCTAACATTCTCGTCCTTCAATTACGTAATTAGCGTTCCACCCGGAAGAATGTTGAAAACAAAAACTTGAACTATAGCTCTCTTCTTTGAAAAGCTGCATGATTTGCAACAGTGCCCATTCAGTCAAACGTTACCTATTCGGTTTTCAAGTTTACAATGGATCTTTGATCCTTGTGATAACACTTAAAAATCTAGTGCATGCGTATGATTTGATGTGATGAGAAAGCTCAAGGTACCCTTGCTTAGCAACAAAATTAAATTTGTATTTACGATTCAAAAACTTATCATAACACTTACATCAGCCTGTAATTCACTCATAAATATTGTGATCTCAACATAAGTGATAATTGCGATGAAGAGTTTTCGTAAAAATTTGATACATAAGTTGATCAACCAAATTGGTACTTAGTATCCATTTTTCTCATTCAGTTGCCGTGGTTAAAGTGTGACCCCGCATGGGCGACGGAACAGTGCCACGTGATGGGGGTAGCAAACTCATCCTGCCTCGGCAGTAACAACACTGGGGCGTGCACCTCTTCCGACCAATCGTCTGCAATTCAGTACTGGAAGTAAGATTAAAAGTGAACTTAAAGGTGTTTATAATATAGACGGGGCAAGTTGTAACAGCTACTACCCTAACTAAATGTGGATTGCCTATATGCATCGGCCGAATAGTCACTATACACTCGGCGCAAGGTTATTCTGGTTCTGTTTGGCCACACAATCGAAATCAGTTTCTGATCAGAATCTCCTATCCGACTTCATATTCGCCTGAGACTATGACAAGGGTTGGCCGAGCCGAGTCGTACCAAGCTAGCAAGCTGCCCAGATGCTGCAAAGCTAACCCTGAGCCGAAGCGGACATAGAGAAGCTGATTTACGTGCTCACCGAGTCCTAGGTGGCCCTAATGCAGGATCGAGCGCGCCTCTAAATTTTGTTAGGGTAGTGACGTCTACAACTAGCAACCTGCAGTTTTATGGGCAAGAAATGTTGTACACGACACAAGTATTGCGTAAGAGTATTTTTCATATGTCTATTATTTCGCATAACAGCCTCCCAAATAAAATGATTAATACCTAAAAATAGATAACCGATCACTAGTGGATTGCTACATGTTTTATAAACGAGTACTAGTGATAGAAATTTACATTAACATAAGTGGAAGTTACACACTCGTTGCCACGACATTCTGTTGAATGTTGTATTCTCTCACTATTAAAATGGTAAATCAGCTCAATAAAATATTCAAAAATCATAAGAATTTCCAAACAGTAATATCTATCTATCAATATTTAGAAACAAATCTAAAACTTAAAGTACCACCGTCTTTGATTTATGTTACATCAAACTAATAAACAATGAATGACCAGACGTACAAAATATTCATCAGATTTGTAATTTCATAAAATTTACACCAAGTTAGATATAAGCAAAGCGTTACTCTGAAATATGAACCTTAGCCTTCTTCATTCTCAGCTGACCGTTATAGTTGATCACGTGACCAGCTCCTCGCTAGTTGCTCCTATTTTCAGCGTTGTTGCATTTGCCTCTACACGAGGCAAGTAGACTGTTGATTAGTTGCGGTTACTACTCGCAAGTTCTGTAGCGGCTACAACTTGCCCCGTGTACATTCACCGTAAGCTTTTATTATCAATCATGATTATGCATCGGCTAATATTGTGGTTTTTCGAATAAATTTGCAGGTTTTTAAAGTAGGTAAACAGCAATGAGACTCCACATAATTTTTACATATCGTAATGATTATTCATTCCTAATGAGTAGTCCTGACTCTTATGTTATATGCCGCAATCCTGAGGAATGCGAGGAATGCCAAAGATGTCCAGTCGTTTATCTATAATGACTCTTATACATTTCTGGTATGACACGCTCGTATCATTGACGAGGACCTTTCTTATCTCGAATTAGACACTCTAAAATATCGAAATCACTTGCTCATAACTCTTAACCGACTTCATCATATGTATCACTTTGATATAGCTAACATCTCTCAAATAGCTCACCTATGTGTTCGGACATTATTCCTATCTCATCTATGATACCACTTTCTCGTATCTTTGAATGAACGGACTCATTGCACTTATCTCTCTGCTCTGAAACAGACACGAGGTGTTGCGACTGGACTCGGTTGGCCTCGTGAACTTTGGGGAGTTGGGAGGCCTGATCCCCTCGCTGGTGTTGTGCCTCTTCGCCGGGTGGGTGATTACGTGCCTCTGCCTCATTAAGGGCATCAAGACTTCGGGCAAAGTCGTCTACTTCACGGCAACCTTCCCTTTCGTCGGGCTGCTTGTCCTCATGATCGCTGGAGTCTCGCTAAGCGGAGCATCGAAAGTCAGTGGATGTTATCCTAGAGATATTAATGTTTTTAAAATCTGCGCATATTTAAAACTTTATGATGAACTCAAATCGTGCGTATTGGTTTAAACTTGACACTTTTTTTACAATTCAACCCCAAAAAAACACAGAAACGAGCGCATCCAAAATACTCGTTCAATATGAAACAAACAACTTTAAGGTATATATCCTTGAATTTCAATCAGGTTTTTCACCCTGTAGCTGGGTGCCACTGTCCTAACTTTTTATATATTGATATCGTACAACAAAAACATTTTTTTGGTCGTTCGCCCAAGAATGCCCAATGATAATCAGCGCCAAGAATGCCCAAAGTATCCGGATGATTATAATTATTAGTACCAGGTTTTGTGAACATCTCTACTGTTTGCCACATTCCCAAAGACGATAATCAACAGGTAAGTAGTCAGGAGACAAGGCTGGTCACTGGAAGTCAAATGGTGCTAAACCAATGGGGTTTCTGATGCGGGCTCTTTACCTAGCCGATGAGGACGATACCTATAGCCAGTAACCTTCTACTTCTTGTTAGACCCAGGGTTACCAGATGGTGTTTTTTCCGGACTAATTCCGCGATTTAGTTGGTTTCTATTGCGTTGGCCAGCTAAAATTTATGATGGCGGCACTTCCTTTTTAAATTCAAAAAGTGTAAAAAAAGGACAATGGAATTTTTACACCAAAACCTACAAATATACTAGTATATATTGAAGTAAAGGCTATTTTTCAGCCTTTGGCTTGAGCTTATTTTTCCATAGCTTTATCTAGTCTGTTCGTGAACGCGTTTATACTCGGAGCAACAACGATGTAATCGGGGAGGCTGTTCCACATGTCGGTGATTCCAAGCGAGAAGAAAAGTCACCTGGGTAAATTGCAACGCAGTTTTTTAGTTTATAATCGTGGCCCCTAGTGTTGGTTCTTGTTTCAAATTCTAGTAATCCTTCTGGGATCTTGTATAAACCATGAGTATACAATCCTTTCCCTCAAGATAGATTCCATTACCTTACAAACACTTGTCGACTGACAGGGCGATAGTTACTGGGGCTACTTTTGTCACCTTTTATAAAAATGGTGTAACATGAGATTCTTTCCAATCGGTCGGCAAATTTCCTTCGTTCAAGGTTCTTTGAAAGAATACTGTCAATGGGCCGGCCAGGGGCCGTATTATCAAAACTTCGTATGTAAGCAAAATCGACTTACGAGTGGCGTAAGTGCTGACTTGATGACGTAACTCTAGAGGTGGCATTATCAAAACATTTGCGCGGGAAGATAAGTAACGTAACTGTACGCCTGCTCGGAGATGTCGTAAGTGAAGTTCCCCTCAAGTTTAGAGTGTCTGCATGCTGAAGCGATAGGAAACTATTGATTTACTAGTAAGCAGCAACACCTTGACTTGTGATAGAATTTTGTCAATAATCCGACAGCGCGGATTATACACGCATAGAATGATGGCTTTACTTGTGATATCTCCACTACTTGATCGTGCAACATTTGCACGATCAAAATATGTGATCGTGCTAAACAGTGCTATTGGAAAAAATTCAATTGAGTTAATGCCAGAAACTGATTTTGTTTTCCTTTTACGTTATATTTTACAAGCAAATGCATATTACGTTATATTTTACAAGCGCGAAAGCAAAGCGTTCGCGCCCAACTCTCTTCATTCGTTCCTTCTAGTCGGTACTTCATATCTCTGCCAACCATAATTTAATCTCCGTACGCAGATTTCTTCTTCAACTCACGCTGTTTATTAAAAAGAGTTCACAACTATTTTAGAACGGCTTTTTTCTGAGCCAACAAGGAGCAATACCGACAGACAGCATTCGATAGTCGATAGGTACCATCGAAGGTATCGATTCCCGCCATCGAAATTCCCAGAATGTAAACAAATCCAAAGCCTCTGATTGGTCAGTTGGCCAGATGGTTTTGATAGTACGCTTTTAGCTAAGCCTTACGTACGAATGTTTTGATAATGCCAAAATATGAGTGTACTTACGTAATACGTAACTTTTTGTCGGAAGTACAAAAAGTTACGAAGTTTTGATAATACGGCCCCAGGACGGTTGCTAATTCTTTGAGCAATATGGGATGGAAGCCGTCTGCGTCTGGTCCATATGACTTGTTGGGATTTAGAGCGACCAGGCGCTTGAGAACCTCTTCTTCGTGTATTTGCTTCGTGCTTGTAAATTATAGCACAAAAGGAAGACAAATTAGCTTCTGGCATAAACTCAATTGAAATTTTTCTCCCATATGCACCGTTTGTACGATCACATATTATTTCTATATCGAATTATTAACAAAATTCATCACAATTCACCGTGTTGCTAGTAAATCAATAGTTCCATATTGCTTCAGCAGACACCCAAAACTAGTGCGTAACTCCACTTTTATTTCGACCTTTCCGAGCAGGCGTAAAGTTACACACAAATTATTGTATCTCGCTTCCCGCGCAAATGTTTTGATAATAACACCGCTAGAGTTGCGTCTTCATAGCAGCACTTACGCAACACGTACGTAAGTCGCACAGACGACTGACGGTACTTAGTGATGTTTTGATAATCCGGCGCCTGGTATGGCTTGCGGTGGTTCTAGTGTGGTCGGCGACTTAGTATCTCTGAGGGTGAGTTTAACTGAGCATATTTGTACACTGTTTGCTACAAGGCTTGTTTAAGATTTAAATTTATGGCCGATTGCTGCGCACCCTATTACCCTTATCGTAACCCTGATTTGTTCATTTTTATGAACTTGATCGCTCCAACACAGAAGGATGATAGGAGAGACTCCAGCAGTGATGATGACGGAACAACATTTTCGTCTTTTCATCATAACTTCTAAAGTAAATCAAACACCATCGTTGACTGCAAAGGCTTCTCGGCCATTCGAGTTGTTAAATCTTGAATTGTTCAGCAGGATCTACACGACCTCAGTTCGCAATTCCAGTGTTCGCCACAAGTTCTCTTCTGCTTGATCTGATTCCAAAAGATCTTAATAAAAAAATTAGTCAGTCGTCAAGGATACAAAACTGATTTACACTAATTATTTACTTTGTTTCACTCAAATCTTCGAGCTTCTGAAAAGTTGACCATCGAATTTATTATCGTCGCTTTCCAGTGAACATTTTCCATGTGAAAGTCCATTTCGATTCGAAAGAAGAACTACCGACGGTAAACTAGCTACGAAAACGAGTTGCACTCGAAAATTTGGAGCTCACAAATAAATATTGGACTAACAAAATATCTAACATAAATTAGACTCCACAAACTAAATGCTAACAAATGAAATCTTACACGAGTCCACGCTGGTCGTGGAAATTCAACTGCCGAAATTTCGCTAAAATAAGTCATATCCGATTTGCTAGTTTATACTCATAGCTTAAGGGGGCCGTCTACCCTCCGTAAAAACTTCTACAGTTATTATCCGATCATCGTGAAACTTCACATACACACGTAAAATGTAAAAAAATAACATTTTGCTCCTATAAATTTTTTTTAAAAATTGATAGAAAACGTGAAATTCATAGAAAACGGCTAAAAACGGGTACTTTGGAAAATCTATCTCCTCCTACAAATATCATCCTACAACATCGAGACACGTATCATTCGATTCGTAAAGACCATACCTATCGACTCTAAGATCACTTTTCTCATTTTGCCCATAGTTTTTTATGCGCATTTTTCCCATTTTTCTCATTTTTTCCCCTTCCCCCCCCTTCTCCCCCATATATAAGACGAATCATACACAGATTTCAAAAAATGATCTAAGAGTCGATAGGTATGGTCTTTACAAATCGAATGGTATATGTCTCATTGCTGTAGCTTGAAAACTGTAGGAGGAGATAGGTTTGCCGTGAGAGCAATAGGAGGTTTACACCAGGCCCCAAAAACTGCCGCGCGGCACGTAAAGGGGCGTAAAAGAGTCGTAACGTAGCCTAGATACCGTAACTAAGCCTCAAACCAAGTCAGCAAGGCATAGAGCGACTGGCTGCATACCTCTCACCTCGCTGTCATGATGGGCACTGACTGCTTTGGCGGCAGCAGGCTGTATTTATAGTCCTGCTCTCCAATTACGCCTATAGGAATTAGTGAAGGCCGCCCAATACCGCCCCCCGTTCCACGGCGCGTCGTGTACGTCAAAATGCACGTAGAAAGATGGTTCTGGTACCGTTCGACGCGTCAGAAAGTAAGCTTTAAGATGAGTATAAGCACCGGATAATGCCATAATTGGCCGCTTTACGTCAGACGTTCCTTTTTGTGTGTCCAGCCTTCGAATTAATCCCATAGACTTTACTGAAGGGCCCTCGAAACCGCCCCCCCTTTAGGGAGCTGTCACGAAATCATTTTTCGACGTAGAGAGATGATTCTGGTACCGTTCGATGCGTCAGAAAGAAAGCTTTAAGATGAGCACAAAAACCGGAAAACGCCAAAATTAAAAATTTAGGGGTAGACGGTCCCCTTAAATACATTGCACAACTTCAGAAGAAGCGTTAATGATGATTTGACCTAAATTATACCATGTATCATGGCATTATGATTTTCTAAGTCCTTGCTGCTGTAACGGGTCATTCGGTTGCAGGGAGGCCATTTTGAACACTGTTTCTTAATCAAATTAGATTTCAAGGCTTCTATTTTCGTGTTATTTCTATTTCGCATTTAATTTTCAGTTATTTTCTGTGTTTACCTCGAGCACACTTACTGTTTAAAATTTTATTGGAAACATGTATAAACTGAATTCTACTTGAGCCAGATCCAAATATGCTTGTACTCGGTAACTGAGCTCACAAATTTTGAACACAAAATTTTGGTTGTTGAATTTAAATTTCTAGACTTCGTTCGAAATCTAGCTTTTAGAAATTAGAACGACTACACATTCTACAAGTTGTGAATTTTGTCTGACATTTGTATTTATAATAAATTTTTCTCCGAACTTTCCGTGATGTCTGCTTGCAGGGGCTGGTGTTCTTGTTCGTGCCCAAGTGGGAGAAGCTGCTGGATGTGAACGTGTGGAGGAAGGCGCTGGAGCAAGTGATCTATTCGCTGTCTGTAGGTGGAGGCGGATTAATCACTTACGGCTCTTACAACGATTTCAACACCAAAGTGAGATTTTCCCCAATTGGAATACAAGAACAACCTGTATTTACTATCTTATCTCATTGAACTTTTACAACTTCTTGCACTTTTGTCGCAACAGATCTGCGTAAATTTTACTAATGTGCGAAATGACATTTAAAAATTATGACCTTATGATGAGTTAAAAATGATCTTATAAAGTCAAACTTGTGCGCCGCCTTCCTTGTCCTCTCTCTCCAAGGCATGTTGATACTTGAAAGAGGATCTTTGTGCTCAAGTCATTTAACCCTTGAATTTCGTGTGATTACGCCAAATAATTTACGAGGGGCATTGAATTTTGAAATAAAGTCAGTGAATTTAAATTTGTATTCTTTGAACAACTATATAAGTAAGAAAAAATAAGGCCTTCCAATTAATGATTGGTTTATGTTCGACACTTGTTTCTATTTATTATAAATAAACTTATTCTATCTAATAACTTTCACTTTTTTAGGTGCACGTTGACGTCTTGATTTTATCGGTATTGGACCTGATTGCGTCGTTGATGAGCGCCGTGACCATCTTCTCTGTACTGGGCGCCATGGCCTATGAACTGGGCATCGATGACGTCAGCAAAGTCGTGGCGTCCGGTGTGTTTTGCATTGATAAAATTTATAACGTCATTAATTCCGTTTTATCAATATGTGCCCTGATGACAACTGATTCAAGTTATCACTATATAATTCACTCTAGTGGCCATTGATACATTGTATCGCCATGTTACCCTAAGGTCCGGGCTTGGCATTCGTCGCGTACCCTGAGGCGATCGCCCGCACTTTGCCAGTACCCCACCTCTGGTGCTTTCTGTTCTTCTTCATGGTCTTCACTCTTGGTCTTGACTCCTTGGTAGGTGCTCTGCTAGGTACGGATATTTCTTGGTGCTCAGCGCATGCATTTTTGTATGCAAATTGATTGTGACATGCTCGTCTTAATTAGAACGTGCTGCCACTAGGTAAATGTTGCCATTGGTATGTGCTTCACTGATAAAATTCTACCCTTATAATAGTTACATCAATACGAGTTTCTTTTAATTCGTGCTCAGCTTGGTATGTGCTTTAGTGCAATAAATTTCAGTGGGGAAGGGTACATACTACATTCTGGTTGAGAGCTCAGAAAGATATGGTGATCAACAGTTAGATCTGCGAACCATGGATTTTAGAAAAATAGTATAGCAATTATAATGGTATAATTAATACGACAATGGTAGCCTACTGTTAAGAAAAAACTAATCTAAGGCCTTTCTAAGCAAAGTTAGTTCTCATATTTCATCAACATAAGGCGTGGCTTGAGAATTACGCGATTCAGTTTGAATGTTTTACAATCATTTACAAGTTCACAACAATGTTCAGCTTGGTACCCGTTCCCTTTGACTCAGGCTCCCATTGATACATGTTCCTTTTTATACCTTACACGTTATTCTATATATCATCGTTCCGTACAGTTCGGGGGCATGGAGACGCTACTGACGGCGCTGCTGGACGAATTCTCGAATATGCGGCGCCACAAGCCGTTGGTGGTGATAGGCCTCTGCAGCGCCCTCTTCTGTCTCGGCCTCCCCTACTGCACTCCGGTACCATTGATAACATTAATGATCATTATTGATTTAAGATGTGACAGCCAGGAAACGACCATTCACAATTGTATTAGAGATTTCGATTATTCACTCGGACGATTTTAAATGCGTCCAAATGCTCTTGGTAATTTAAGCTGCGTGATAGGCTGTGGTCGGATATGATCGGCAGCAGTGGTAGTTGCATTGATAGTTGCACAGCATTCGCGTTTGCCAATTTATTTCTAATGGATGCCATTTTATTGGAAAAGAAGCATAATAAATTATTATAACTACTATATTTGGCCCAAACATGATTGCGCCAGATATAGTAACCTATGGAAAAGGTCTAGGACACGCGAACCATTGAATCAGCTCTCCTCAAACATTGACAAGCCTGTTTAAACGAGGCAAGAAAATCAATGGAATAGCACAACAACCTGAAAGTTCTGTCAAATTCCCTGATGCTTTGACTGGAAATGCTAAACCTTGTTGTGACACAGACTAGTGATAAGTAAATGATAGTTTCATTAATGGGTGTAATGAAGTGAAGGCAGTTGTAATAATGTTCATAGTATTCCAGGATTAGTTTTCATCATGGTTGAACTAGTATAAGGTTGACCCATCAGAAGCCCATTTTTGCGGATGTAGCTCGTTGTTCGCCTGTGACGTCACTGATCTCAGCGACGTCACGGGCATTAACCAATCACCGAAATGCGATCAAACCAGTCAACCAATCCGTCATGGGAATAACGGGTTTGTTTACGTTTCTCGATCTACGTGACGTAGCAAGAAAGCCGAACTGAGAGACGGAACTTCTCGTGGGTCAACCTTATATAGTTCAACCATGAGTTTTCATAATGTTTGCTAAATGGATTTGTGTTTAATGTAATATTGCTGAGTTAATAGTAATGATATAGGTTATATAATTATCAATCGTATTAATATTACTCTATTATCATCCATGCATTTTAAGTACTTAGTAATTACCGATTTTAGGTTGTATACGAATTATACTGCGGCTTCATATGAAGACGTCTAAAACAAACGCCGAGAGTTTTCCTCTGGTCATTAATCGCGCGTATGTAAATAAGCATATTCTGCCTTCTAATACTAATTACAGGGCTTCATATAAATTGAAGCGTTATTATCAGACGACTAAAAGTCATGATGAGCGTACGAGGCTCAGGGTACGTATAGCAGATGTTATTTCTGCCAGTTGTACATCAGAACCGTGAGGCATACTATCAAAAGTCGTTTAAGTTGGAGAATGAGGGTTCTGAAGGGTTTGAGGTTGGATTTAGCAGTTACAAACGGCCATTCCTCTCATAATTAATTAGTGTAAATATGTATTATGTAGGTTGGGGTAAAGAATATGAAGGTTCAATGTATTTATTGATGGATTGAACCTGCGGGCCAACACATGCGTGTTGATGGTCGTTAGAATACTAACACGAACAAAATTGAATAGCCACGAATATCAATAGATTATTGGAAGTGCAAATGGCAATTCAGCTATCATAAAGTGGCACAATTTAATCACTATTATCTGAATTTAACTCTAAAGGTTGACTTGGCAGCTTACCCCTAGAAGTTCACGCGTCGATGCTGACCAGAAAGATGAAGCTAATGCATGACTGGCTGATGTTGCCCACTGGCACACTCTAAAAAGAATTCACAATTTTTGAATGACACCATCAAAACGTAAAAGTATTTTTATCGTTAACTGAATTTTTATTTTTTCAGAAATTAGACGAATATTGTTCATTCCATTCTTGAACATTTTTATTTGTTATTTATTATTTTACAATCGAATAATAGTGAACATTGAAGTAAATAGTTGAAGTTAAGCTTACAATGTTACGTGAATCTACAAAAATTGTGTTCAACGACCTTGGGGATTTGATAAAATAATTATAACGCTCACAAGAAACGATAGTGCGAGTTAATAATAGTCACTACAAAGAACTCGCAGCGGCCTATTTCTCGTCTGTGTTTAGTAAGTTTCTTTAGAAAAGCTGTCAGTAATTGGCAGACGGACTAACGAACTCAACAATTTTCAATAGTGTGATACGAAAATGGAACTACGAAGTGCTGTAAAATACAAGGCCCTAAGTCTATGTTAGACTTTGCAAGAGTCGCGTTGTAATTACGTTTAACAAGTTTACTGCCTGTGAATATAGAAGGGGGCTTCAAGAAGTTCGTATAAAATGGACATAACTGAAAAATATATGAACAGAATAAGATTTAAATGCACCAGAACGATCCTGTACCAGCGTTTTAAAACGAGTTTTCACGTGAAGCCTTAAATGAAATTTACGAATGCGGGAACTCTTTTAAAAGCAACAAACGTTTGTGCAACATTGCATCTACCAAAATAGAGTCCAGGTCAAACTTTATATTCATGATGAAACTTAGGTGTAATAACAGCCAAATCCTAGACTCTCTGAAATAAGTTTATGGTGACGGTGCCTCACATAAATCAGCAAGCTACAATTGTGGACGAGTCGTTCCAGAAACGAGAGATATTAGACCAAAAATTACCCTCTCAGAAACAGGCCACACGCCTCAGTTTGTGTGGTAAACATTGATGCTGTTAGTGATTTTACTGAAAAAAATGAGCAAATAACCACTAAATCAATAGCAGACACACTCAACACCACCGTGGGTTCCGGGCACACAAGTTCGGGATCATGATCATTGAATAAATTTCGTTGATAAAGTTCATGAGTGAGTGCCTGCAATTCATTAAAGACTCCTGTGTTTCCAGCATTTTGAGAGCCAAATAACAAGGATGTCTTGTAACAACATCATTATTCAGGATCAGGAACTATTATTCCTGATCCTGAAACATCTGATTCAGTTTCTGGTCTTGATTCCGGAGTTTGATCCCTAGACGATGCGGGACTTGCAGCTTCAATTCTAGCAACTTCATAACGCGCCTTTTCTTTCTGCATCACTTTATAGAGTGGTTTAATGAATTTTTTATACTTCTCCTTTGTTTGCTCTTATTGTTCCATCCGGCTTGAGTCTTTAGTCTGTCTCAAAATTGTTAGGTAATTTGCCACATCTGTTTTTTCATAGTTTTCAGGGGATTATTTTGTTGATAGCTCCCATAACCCAACAGTTCCTTCAAAAACTTCATTAGCAATCCCTAAATCATTTACTTGGATGCTGACCTCCTAGCATAGCGCTTTTCCCATCAAATTTTATGCCATAAGCTTTGTCATAGTCAGATCCAGGTTTGAAGGCTAGACTTAAAAAAGTTTTAGCTATTGAACCAACTAGTCCTTTTGAGTCTGGAGGATCTAATGCCAATCTTTCAGTGGGTTTGATTGTTAATAATTCTCTGGGAGCATATTTCAGAGCTAACCTTGTTTGCTTAGTTTCTTCAACTATTTTGGTAAGAGGCTCAATTTGAGGCTTATATAATTTTTTAGCATCGTTTAAATTTTTTCCACAAATTTTTCTTGTGTGAATTGTTTTCCTAATTCTCTTTTAAATTTTAATAAATCTTGTTTTGTTTCTATATCAAATAACGCCATTTTATTTAGTAAAATATCTCAAACAACTTGAACTCAATGGCTGTTTATTTTGAACTCAATGTGCGTTCATTTTGAACTTAATTTGTGTTTATCTTGCTGTCAGTTCAACTTGATGTTAGTTCAGCTTCTGGAATCCAACATGGGTCATCATATCCCTTCTATTCAACTAACAATTTTCCTTTACTCTTTTTAAAAATTTTATCAATTTCATAAACATCGCTACTATATTTTGATAATTATTTTTCGTAAAAACTTCCTACTACTTCTTCACCACTCATATCTTTCAGCCTATAAGTTACTGGTTTCATCTCTAATAGTTTAGAGATGATAAATAACTCACGTGTGAAATTAGGGAGATATTCTTTATTAAAATCCTTACGTTTTCTACTAATTCTGACACGATCTCCAAACGTCAATTTAGGCTTCCTTATAACCGTCCTTATCTCGGGGAAATAATTTGCATAGACTATTTTACTTTTCTGTTCCATTGAAGTTTCACGAGGAGTTATTTTTAATGATCTATGATAACTCTTGTTATAATTTTCAACTTAATGTGGTAAAATATCAACCCACTTTTTTGTCTTGGTGTACGTGAAATATTTCCACATTTTTTTCTTGAGAGTTCGGTTAAGTCTCTCAACAACTCGAGCTTTAGTTTCATTTTCAGTTGCAAACCATTCAATTTCAAACTTTTTGAATAACTCTTGTGTTGGCTTGTTAATGAACTCTAGACCTTTATCTGCTTGTATTTTAGAGGGAATTCGCTAAGTGGAAAGCCTATGGAAAGAGGTTTTAATCTATTCACCAGTTTTTCTAAGTATAGGAACTGCCCATATATATTTACTAAAGATATCACAGTTACAGTAGAATGTAGTTTATACCTTTATCTGTATACCTATGTCAACTAAATCTACCTGCCATTGATCGTCAATCTTTGTTACTCTAACTCATCTTATAGTAAAATTATATTTTATTGGTTTATGTAGAGTGCATGTTTCCTGTGACTCCAACAAATTCGTGACTTGCTTGCGAGATAAGCCACTCCTACGAACGAGTTCATTTGTCCACACGTAGCCGGTTTTAGGATCGTAATTTATTTAATAAGAATTTTGCCACTCATTTCTGTGCGTGGACTTTTACGTTTTTTGATACTCCAAGACCTACAAAACTTTTTCCAGCCATTATAGCATTAACTAATTTTGCATCAGTTTTAACATAATCAGGCTCATTATGATCTATCGCAATTTCAGCCGCTTTCTTCGCTAGTTTTTAATGTGTACTATAAAATATATCACGCTCACTACAAGCTCTATCCAATGAATCAACTCCCTTATAACCTTCATTCATTCTTTTTTGCACCTTAGTGCCAGGGCCACAGAAGGAGTAGGTATGCTTATCATTGAAAGAACCGTTGGTAACCTGCTCAGATTGAATGCTGAAGGGTAATTTTAAATACATTTCTGGCAGTGGTAATTTCCTTTGCATCATGTTAAAAATGCCACTACCGGTTTTTTCATTACGAAGAAATTATTTTAGCTGGTTCTTCTATATGATTTTAGGTATTCACTATTATCGGTTGATAGCAGCTCAGAATAGTTTATTAATGTTCTTTTCTTGTAGACTATCATTTTTATTAGATTATTTTATAAAGACTTCTTTCAGCTTGCATTACAGTGGTTTAATGCTAGCGTATTAATACCGTCTGCTAATATATGTCTTTTATCATCGTCACCATTCAGTGCAATTTTATTAATTTCTTTCGTATACAATTAATGATTGTCACTTTGGATTTTATACATTGTTTAATGTATAGTCTCATTATTCAATGCTCACATATATTCATGCACGGTTGTATTCCTTTCAATAACATTTCTCTTTATACCTTTAGCTCTTTTAGCTACAGAACATTTTGTTTGATAACAATACAGCTTTGCTCGAAGACCTACAAATTCTTCTATGGGAAAGCCGCTTGTTTCATCTTTCATTCTACCGATTACTTTTTTTGTTCTGATTTTAATATAGGAAATGATCCTTAGGATAATTCTATGTGTCAAATAAGTCTTGATTGTCCTTCATATCTTCATACAAGTCATCGGTTCGAATGTCATAGCAGAGCGAGTCTGTATCAGTGAACAGAAGCTTTGCTCTATCGCCCTATTTTTCTCTAAGGAAGTTGCAATGAAAGTCATACATCAATGTCATGCTTATATCTAGTATGCCCATCCCTTCATTGATAGGTTTTTCAAACTTTAGCTTTTGTTTTTGCATATGACAAGCTATCAGGTTTTTCGAGAATATTTTGAATCCTTTGAAATTAGTTTCATTAACTAATCTTCTCAATTCTTGTTTAGTCCTAAACAAATTAACTTAGACATGGTTTCTAATGTTTTCCGTTGTTTTATCGAATACAGGATTATTCATTAACGTGAAGAAATCTTTGTCAAAATCTGATTTCGCTTGTTGTCGCTTCTTTGTGTTCAGATCTATGTATGGCTTCATCCATAGGCTTTCATCGAATTTTAATAATCTATGAATTTTCTCTATTTTCAATTCAAGTTTCTCATACAGTTTTAAAATTACTTGAATGGATTACATATTTTTCACGCTTACCAAGATGTTGTACTATCTGATGAACATCCCCATTTGAATACTTTCTGGTGCTAGAGGTAAATAATTATGATTGTCATGTAAGTCTTTTGGATAACTAAAGTCAACTTTTAAAATGTAGCCTTTATTATCTTTGAATGGTTCATTATCTAATTTGAATGGTTCATTCATTGTCAACAATCTAAAGTTTCCTGTTGTAGGCTCTGTGACATTGGCCTACCATATAAATTATTTGCGTCCATGAATGATGTATAATTACTCGGTTTTTTGAGGATCATAACTTTCAGGAATATATTTATTATTTGCTTTAGCATATTTTGGAGATATCATTGGAACACCACCTCTAACGCCTTTCTCAATGAATAGTATCATATCAGGATCGTTCAGCAAGTCTAATTCTATCTCAGTAATCTTTAATAAAGCATCAAATGATAGCCCTGGAGCTGTTAGGAATCCTGGATAGCCATGTAGGAATTTCAATAAATATTTCATTTTATACAGCAATTGTATTTTCTTTCGGAGTTGTTACCCCGTAATATCACTAAGGGTGCGTTAAAATCCTAGGCTATATATTGCATACGAATTATTACATTTGTATTGTTGAGTAATTAATTTGAATTTAAATTTATCTCAAACGCTTACAATTTTAGCATTTGAGACATAGTAGCAATAGTGGTCGCGATATTCATATTGTGGTATTCTAATGAAATGATGTACTTCCGGCAGTCTTTCTCTCATCCTATGCGCTATATTATATTTGGCGTTCTCCTTCACAATACTGCATGCATAGAAGCGTCGGCGGTAAGTTCACTGAGACGTTCTCTTTTTACGCGCTAAAAGTAGCTTTTAATTACGCGCTCCGGCTGGCTGAGTGGAGTTTTGACGCCTTTGGCAACTCATTTTAGGACAAGCCGGGATAGTCACTTTGGTGCGTAGTTTCTACGCACCGATTTGTTCCAGTGTGTGCTCCCAATTTCCACTCATTGGCACGATGGAGATGATGTCTGAATAAGTTGGTGTCCCTTGCTTTCTGAAAATTTGATGGAAAGATAAGGATATGTATTTAAGTTTTTGAAACCGATATCCGAGTTTACCAATACATCGAAGTCGATTTGCGAAGGATATGCTGATGCCTATATGGTCAGCTAACAATGTTTGTAAGGTAGATCTTTTTCCTCCACACACATATTCATTGAAGTGTTTTCCACACAAAAGGTCTAGGAAATATCCGAAGAGCATTTGATCTGTAAGAAGAGTTTTTCGCTGTGATTTTATTGCATTTTGTATCTCCCCAAATAACAGAAAATTTCGTCATAATTATCACAAGTAGGAGCAGGAGGTTCAATACTTTGATAATGTTGATTGTCAAATACATGCATGCGTCTTTCACCAATCATTTAGTTCCGCCGGTGTTTGAATTCTGTTTCTTTTCATTACATTGAAAACTTATCTAACGAATTGACGAAGAGTTTTTGGGATGTCATTTCTATCTTCCTCGATCATATTTTTCACTGTTTGATGTGATTGAGCGTCTCCTAACGCATAACCGATCATTGCTACAACTTGCATCAATTCAGACCGTGCTTTTCTTAGCATATTTTCTTCTACAGAAATTATCTCCGCCATCACTTTTTTCTCGAATTTTCACAAAATGTACTGCAACTTATGTGTACGAGAATGGTGATCTTATGCGGTCGTTCTCCGAGGTGGCAATGTCTCACAATGAGCATGAGCACCTCTCCATAAAGTGCTACTCGCGTGATATTAAATAGGCAACACCCGTTCCCTGGAACTGATCGAACGCGCTTCGTCGGGGGTTCCGGAATTTACTCGCTAAAGAGAGGGCGTTTGCTCTGTATAAATTTATGAATTTAGCTGGTGATACACACTAGCAGTATACTGTATCAGCATTCAGGATTACACTGAAATAAATTATATATCCCACAGAAGTATTTTTCTGACAGTCGCTCTGGGTTAAGCCCTGAGTTCTCTGTTAAAATTGCTCGGTCAATCGGCGTAAATGGTCGTTAACCCATGATTTTGATGGTCAAGACTCAGGGTAAATGGTCAGGTTTTTGATCGGAAGACATTGCTAAAATTTTTAATGGCCAAGATCCGAAATAAGATTGCGGGTAAATGATCAGGTTTTATTTGAAGGGAATTGATCAATTTTGATGTTCAAAGATTCTAAATAAGATTTTGGGTAAAAGACCAGGTTTTATTCCGGGGTCATTGGTCAATTTCTTTCCAAGTTTTGCAATGACCTACTAGTCTCCCACTAGGAATAATTTTTCAGTTCCAGGTAATATCGTGACACGATAAGTATCGTGAATTTCGCGACCAAACAGTCCCTATATATTTCCTGTGCCAAGCTTCAAACACGTAACACACATAGAAACTTTAACAAACATGTACATAAGATTTCTGCTGTTGTATGTCGCAGAATGGATTCGGGTTATATGACGTAAGATTCCTCAACAGAAAGGGCAGTACGTCTTCTACCTCATTGACGTCTTCAAGTTCGGCATAGGAAGTTTGATGGGAGGCTTCTTCACCTGCGTCGCCGTCCACTGGTTGTTTGGTGTCAACAAGTGAGCTATTAGTGGGTGATGAATCAGCAAGTGAATCACTACCAGGTGACGAGTTAACAAGAGGGTCAACGGTGGGAGACTAATCAGTAAATTGGTTATGAGACAAGATGTAGTTGATCTGCGAGCATGGTATACTTTTTTTTTAAACCTCCTTCCCTCATATCGATGACAAAAGCTAAATCTTGAAAAATGATCTGCCAGGATGAGCTCACTTGAGAACTATGATCAAATTTTGAAACAATTAATAGCAATATAACTGTGATAATGACGCTGCATCCTTATCAGTTTCAGTGACATGATCGAATTCATGTTGGGCTTCCGCCCGTCCGTCCTCATGCGCGTTACCTGGGCCTGCATCGCTCCCGTCACGCTGTTGGTGGGTGCCAACGATGGTAGTGAGAATAGAGGCATTGGTGGTAGTGGGTATAGTGGCACCGGTTGTAATGAGAATATGGGTACTGGTTATAGTGGGTATAGTGGTGCTGGAGCTACTGAGCTACTGGGAATAGCGGTACTGGTAGTAGTGAATATGGTGGCGTTGGTAGTCCTAGAAATAGAAGTAATAGTGGCATAAAGGGAATAGTGGCACTGAAACTCGTGGTTTGGGAATACTAGCACTAGTGGTTGTGGGAATGTGGGTACTGGCAGTATGTGGAATAAAGGCACTGACACTGATTATAGATACTGGTACGAGTGGACTACTTCTTACTGGTAAGAGTGGAAATAGAGGTACATACATTTGATAGTAAAATATAGTCACTGTCATGATGGTCGTGAAAATTGCGATTATTGCATTGGTGATAGTAGGAATATTGCACTGTAATTGGCGATCGTGGTATTAGTGGCGTAAGCACGATGAATAGTGGAACTAGCGGCATTGGCACTGGTAGTAGATGGAATAGTGGAACTGGCGCTCCTAGAACTTGGAATCTTGCAGTTTATGATTGATACTGTTTGCAGTGGGAACAGTGGCACAGGCACTTGTGCTAGTTTTAATAGTCCAAATGAGCAAATGGAGTCACTCGAAGAATTGTGGCACTGCAGTAAATGTTGTAGGAATAATGGCAAATGTTCTAGTGGTAGGGGTATGAGTGATAGTGTGAATGGTGGCATTTGTATACGTGGTGGTGGGATAGTGGCACTGGTCCTGGTAGCTATTCGAACAACTCTAGTGATGGTACTGTGATTAGAGGTTGTATTAACTATAGTGACGAAAATAGTATTAGTGGCAGCGGAAGTAACTCAAGTGGACAGAATGGGATTAGTTACCAGTAAATGCGACTATTGTGGCTTAACATATTGTCTTCCCTCAACGTATGAAATCTTTCTCATTAGTTAGCCAAATTCTTAAAAATTATTTGCTAAATCTTGAGAACCAAGTTAACTCTCTCGCCGCCGCATGTTGGGCTTGTGTGCCTCGCGTAAGGTGATTAGAAAAAATCCATTCTATATACATAGAACCGAAATTTGCATCCGAAGCCTTTTCTCGTTGTTCTGCAGCAAGTAATCTTCTTCTTAGTCATCATCTATGAAAGAGAGTTCAGGCAACAATTATACCGTTCAACTCCTGTCTGTCACTAACGGAAAATGCACAAACTTCAGTCCCCTTTCCCTTAAATACATCCCGATCTGATCCAAAATGACCGAAAATGTTTCTCATCATACTAAACAAAGTGATAAATTGAGAAGGAGAAAATTTTGAACAAATTCTCGACCACCCCAATATCCATATGCCGCACGTAGGTACTGCTAAGTTTTAAATGTAGCCCCATGCACCATGTCAAACCACTTACCGCACATGAGATAACGAATCCAGGTAACACTAACTCGCACACGTATCGTATGTCCAGGTTACACCATCTTCCGCACGTTGTATTTATGAGCTTAAGTAACTACCATAACCTACCGCAAGTTCTTTTGAAGGCATAAGGTAACTAACTCCACCTACCGCAGGTGGTGTTCGTGGGTTCCTTGCTGCAGTGGCGTTGGCCGCTGTACGCTGGCACCATCCACTACCCCGTGTGGGCGCTGGTGCTGGGCGCCGCCGTCCCCCTCGTTACCCTCGCCCCCCTCGTCATCGTCGCCCTTGTGCACGTCATGGAGCTCGTCTGGAACGGAGTAAGCGCTGGAATGAGTTCATCTAAATATGTTCACAGGAAGTAATTAATGACTTTCCATCACATCGATGTACCTGGGGACACATTGTTATTGCTATAGTGATGTATTATCATCTTCTCATTTCCATGCACGCCTTCTAACACAGAGAGGGGTTAAATCATTTCAATGTCAGTAAATTAGAAACGAATCGGCTAATCCTTTTGACTGCCTGGCCGACGTACTCCAAAGACAGTGAGTGTTACAATTCGATGATCGTGACAGGCGGCAGCTGCCATTCGGTCCCCTTCCATTAAAGCACTTTGTCCATAATAAACATGACGCTTCTCCGCTCTAAGGACAGGAATTGTTGAGAGGTGTCACTTGATGTGTCATCTCAGCGTCCGAGACGTTAGAGGGAATACTTTGGCAATTAAAACCGCCAAGTCTATAATATTGATTGAATTCCACCTCATCATGTAAGCTGATACCTCACTGACTGTTTTAATGGAATGAGGTCATGGATGGAATGATTTCACTGTAATGCTGCAGTAATTGAAATTACTTCCAATTAAATGTCATGACTGTCTCCGCCTTACCTATTATGCGACCATAATTGGAATAGCTTCAATGAAATGAGGTCATAACGGGAACGGCTTTTGACGGAATGAGGTCTTGATTGCAATGGCTTTAATGGAATGAGGTCATGACTGGAATAGCTTTGATGAAATGAGGTCATGCTGGCATGGCTTTGATGAAATAAGATAATGACAGGTATAGCTTTGATGAAATTAGGTAATGACTAGAAAAGCTTCACTGGAATGGGAACAAAATCTAAAGCACAAACGACAGCGATAGAGGGAAACAGGAACGAGTTGGGAAACCTCGCAGGCAAAGACTGATCACTCTGATGCGGTTTTTTGTCATTACAACGAGTTTGAATTTTAATGTTAATCAATAAACTATTTCAGTTCAAGATTTTTTTCAGCAATAAATATTCCATTTTCAAAGGTAAAAATACCAATAGAGAAATTTTCCAAAGCGTTGACGTCACTCTCTAAGACAAATGTTCAAATTTCCGTAGTACCGGTACTCAAATACCTACCTCCACTCATCCCCGTGGCCTTGTATTCCTCCTCCAGAGGGGACGCGACATCCTAAAGCACCATCACCAATGGGGCCCAGGTTGTCCCGTGGCCCGTCAACGACTCAACGAAGCCATGCGACTCACTCGAGAGGCGCAGAGACTCAACACCCTCGTCACAGAGGGCTCCGTCAACATAGCCTTCGACAGCACCGATCTATAGTGTAGCTGGAGGAGCCTTCGTCGGTGACAAATCACTCTCGATTGCAAGCCTTGGTTGATGTTATGGTTTTTTATTGCATCAATGCTCATGGGCGCGCGCAGGGGTGGCTCATATGGGGATCAAAGGTCAACGGAAGAGAAGGAAATATACGAAGGCAGGAAGAGCGGCCAAATAGGCCGTCGCCTACACGGGACTGTCCATCACAGGAGGTGCGGTCGTGATAAAAGAGGAGTTAAATGTCAGGGAACTGCTATGGCCCAAACAAAACTGAGCCAGTACTGCGCGGAGGGTCAGGAAAGCGAAGCTCCATAAGAAACGGCGGGTAGCAGTTGGGCAGCCTGAACCGTGTTGATCTCAGCGGATTCGAACTCTCAGCAGAGAGTCAGCTTAGCCTCCACATATTAGCCCGCATTAGAGGGGCCACAAAGAGGCCAAATCTGGACAGGAGAGTAGCTTTGATGGGTCGCCTGCCGAAGACCACCACTGCCCTGGGTATAATGGACCATCATGATTCCTGCCTTCCGGAACGTAGCCTTCAACACTTCAAGCCGTCCGTATCTAGGCCGTGGGTCGAACCAGCCCTCGGTCGAACGGCCACTTGTCGAAGGACGATAAATTTTGGAACAGAACTATGCTATCTGAAACCTAACCTCAGATGCGGTGAACGTAAAATTACGTAATTTAACGATGCCCGGAAGTCAGATTCGATCTGCGGCCTGGTGGTGCACGGCAGGTTCTATGCGATGCCGGAAGAAGACAAAGCCGAGTGGTTCACGGCTGATTGGTGGATGTCCGGAGAGATCTAAGGCGTTCGATTCAGGGCTTATTGGTGCACAAAATTGGTGGTGCACGGCTACGCTCCCGCTTTGATAGATCTGTGTCCAGACGGAGCAGAAACGATGGGAAATGAGGTTTAATCCCGATGGCACTGGCAAGGTATTGTGCACATGCGAGGTCCAAATGGGGAACAGGGGATGAGGGGAACAGGCAAGGCCGTCATTTGAGACATTCGGTTGCCATCACTAAAGTTGCTTATACACGAGGGCGATTAGTTGAGTTGACTACAGTTTTGCAGGCTGAGAGAATATACACGAGGAGAGTGTTTTCAGTAGTGTGCCAGCGCCAGTGCGACGTTGGGAGTTGTCGACTAAGGTGTGTGCATGGTGGAGGCTATCGAGAGCTTCAAAGCTGTGCGAGCTACAGTGGGCAAGTGAGAGAGCGACACAACTATGCTCAGTACGAAGGCCTAGCCGCCACTGGGGGGGGGCTAACACGGGTCTAGGGGTACTGGGCAGTGGGCACACTAGAGTCTAGACTCTAGACTGTCTAGAAACAACTTGCGCTGCTCTGCAATGTTACATTGTTGAGAAAAAACTTGAGCTGCAAACAACAATGCAACAGCTAGTGGCCCCTGAAGACGTCAATCATCACAAATTTTAGTTGCGTCGACTAGTCGACGCAACTATATTCGCCTCGTGTATAAGTTCTGATTCATCAGGCCGAGTTCTGATTCATCTGTAGGCTTGCCCAGAGCTGCAGAAGGCGTCGAGGTACCAGATGTGAGCTGAATAGTTTAGGATTGGGCCTGTTATAGTTCTGAAGGTGGAAGTGGTCTTCCTTGTTGAATCCCAGTTCGGGCCTGCCAGGCTTCTCGGATACGCAAGATACTAATAAAACTTGAAGTATCTGCATAACTTATTTTAATTACTCATTTTGTGGTTATGATCGCATGCAAACTCGACTATCAGACTAATTAGTGCCATGTTCCAGTCAATTAATAACTTCTACGAATTAGATTTATTTTTTATCACCGTACATCAATGATGAATTAAATAATGGAATTAATGGTCAATTAATTTTAGACTCGGCCCACAGGAAGACCAGTTCTTATTTTTACTCATTTATGATTCATTCCTAATTTATTGGTCTTGTAGCTATTTGCAGTTTTTTACACATTTATCTGTGTAGTTTTTTTAAAGAGCTACTTTGGCTGAAGCATACTTAAAGCTAGAAATCAATGGCAAAGTTTTTTTAGTGAGAAAATTTCTTCAAGTAAGAAAATAATTTTAATATTTTTCCTTTTCCCTTCAAATTTTTATAGGATTTCTAGATACTGAAAATGCCGCCTTTTTATAACTTTGGTATGCACTGCTGGAGTGAGAACTCGAGTCTTCAAGAGAGTTTTCAACATCCAATATACTGTATCACCGTGCCTCACCCTGTAATCCTATTATTAATAATTACTCTCAGTCTTGTCACTCTATTTTACAACACTTCTCTTTAGCTTCACTTCTTGTTGTTTGTTTGTTTGTCTGCTACAAATCTTATAATCGATATTTAACACACTTCTACCTGTCCAATCGATATGAAATTTTGCACACTTGCATAAAGTTGGAGACAATGCATGATTCAATGGACAGAAAATATAATTTAAAAAAATTGAAAGCAAAAACATTTTTTTTAATTTAAAAACTTTGAACAAATAATTTTGTCTGGTACATATCTTGTATTCGATATTTGACACACTTCTACTTTTCCAATCGATCTGAAATTTTGCACACTTCCGTAAAGTTGGAGACAATGCATGACTCAATTGACAGAATGAACAATTTTGCAAATTTTTTTTCTAAAAATTAAATCAAAATCTAATTTTTTTAATATTGATAATAAAATTAGAAATTCTTTGTACATGTGTAACATCTGAGACACTGGATTCTTTAGAAGTGTTGTCTTTAAAAAGTAATTTTTAAACGCATTTTATTTCTCCTGTTTTAGCTTATGGACATAAATAAGAATCTATCAGAACTCAGAGATAATTCGTATACCTCATCTATTGATAAAATAATCAACGGATGTCGTAGTAAAAACATAAGCGCGAACAGATTAATTAATTCAATCTGACAATAGGCTCCCGTAGGCACCCGGACAGTTGGCACCCAGACAGGGGCATAATTCTATAGTCAGATTCGGACGATTAATCCGAATAAAGTTTCATCGTTGTGTGCTAATCTTTTCAGCACAACATATAATGAATGTTACTATGAGATGCTAATAATTTTAGAATATTTCTTGATTAATTATGGACTTCTAAAGGTACCGAAAATCCAATGTTCAGTATACTCATGTTATATATTGTCAAATCTGTACTTTATATTGTATTTTACTTTAATCTTACATATTCAATTAAATACCTGGGCTCCCTAATGTAAACCATCTTAATGCATTGTTGGGCTGAATTAGCCCAAACCCGATCAAGTAATGTATAGAATGTTCTCTTAATCCTTTCCTTGGTATGATCCACTTCGGTTCAAATTGAATCCTAAATGTGCTTAAAGCCCTTGACTTGGTTGTAAGGTTGAGCCATACAACAAAGGTTGAGGTTAAGCCTTGCTCCTAAATTGATTCTAATGATGTATCTTGCTTCTAGTTGTTAATCGAGGACGTGTCAGGTGACTTAAGTCAAACGTCACCAAGCATGTTGTCATTAGTTTCTCTCACGTCACCTTCCGTGACGTCACTGTAAAAGACTCTATATAAACTCTTCAAGCTTACCACCAGTCATTTGTAGACCGACCTCTCAGACGCATTCACTCAAGTTCTACTCTCCGACTCTAGCCTCACTTGTGTACGAGTCGTACTACCTTTCATTGATACTGTACCAATATATCATCGTGCCTCACCCTGTAATCCTATTATTAATAATACTCTTGGTGTTGCCACTCTATTACTCTCCTGCACTGCTATAGCTTATGGACAATAATATGAACCTATCGAAACATAGAGATAATTCTTACAGTTCATCTAATAATAAATTAATCAACGGATATCATAGAAAGACATAAGACCGAAAAGTTTAATTTAATTCAATCTGACAACTGGCTACCGGACACATGCAATACTCGTTCCGCCGCAACAAAATGGACTAGCTTCATAATTCATGTTTAAAAGACAATAACATGATACAATACAATATGGTAAGCATAGTTTTTATCCTTTGGCAGCATATAACGCAAGTCAGTGGACGATTAATCATAAACTAATTCTAAAGAGATCGAGTTTGTGTGTGTGTGCGGTGCCACTAGGAAAGAGTGGAAAAGAACAAGAGGTGGCGCAGAGTGGCCAGAAAGAAGAAGGAGAAATGGAAAAGACAGTAGGAGATGAAAAGGCGCATTGCGCATAATTGGGTTGGATATAGGTGGTTGGGAGGTGTTTTGGGCTGAGGAAGGGGGGGATGGGAACCCGTCGGGGCTTTGGATGCATCAGAAATGGAGGTGATGGGAGGTTCGTCGTAATCTATTTACATATGTATATGCGTTCTCGCTTTTTGTTTTGTTTTATTTTTTTATTTTTTTTTTCTTGATGAATATGATAATAAGGGGGGGGATGATGATAATAGTGATTGATGATGATGTAGATGAAGGCGATAGGCAGAGGTGGGCAGTAGCGCGCTACATGTAGCGGCCACTACATTTTCAGTAGCGGTAGCGGCACTACATTTAAGCAATTGTAGCGGTAGCGTCCGCTACATATTTAAGCAGCGATACGAGGTTTTGCCGCTACCGCTACATTTATAGATAAAGCCTTTAGATTTTACTTAATAGTATTAAATGTTATTTAAAAACCAGAATGATACATAAATATTATAAATTACAGAATAAAACTGTAGGTACGAAAGATTTCGGGGTAATGTTGTCAACCTCAGCCTGTTACTAGTGTCAACATGTTAGTTGTTACCAGAGGTGGGCAGTAGCGCGCTACATGTAGCGGCCGCTACATTTTCAGTGGCGGTAGCGGTAGCGGCGCTACATTTAAGAAATTGTAGGGGTAGAGGTAGCGCCCGCTACATTTAGAGCATGTAGCGGTAGCGGCCGCTACATTCCAAAGTAGCGCTGCCTAGCTGTGGCTATAGGTGAGTCGCTCGAGACTCGGATGGAAGTAAAATGTTGGTTGGTTGGTGTATTCTAAGTTTTTGGTCACGTCTTTACTGTACGTCACTCTCG